GAATTTCTGTAACTATTTCTTCTCAGGTTTCATTTAGACAACTCAATTATAAAAAAAAGGACAATTACAACACTACAGTACACTTTCTTTTGAGACTCCTCCAACAATCTGAGTCCTTACAATGACACAGAAGTGATTTCTAACAGCATCCGATTAAGTGTTATCGAAGACTTACCTACAGGAAATAAGAAATCATCAGAAATTAAGAGAGAAGTCCATTAAAATACATTCAGGAATCCTGACATTTTCATGCTCTCTTTCAATGTTCCATGCTTTAATGGGCACGTGTAACTGAATGAAGCATTACAGAGCTAGTTAATGCAGTAACTGGATCTGATTAGACTAAGGATCCTCTTTTCCCATATTTTTTGAAACAAAAACATCACGTTCATGAAGATGGATAAGCACAAGATAGAAGGCAAATGCCCAGCACTTTAGTAAGTGTTCTGAAGAAAGAACTTCAAGGACTGAGTTTATTTATAAAATACAATACCTCAAAAATAAACTATAAAATTATATTATATACGTATATATGTTGACATAATTATGAAATGACAGCCTATAAATTAGAAAGCTTTAAGCCTTCAACAATTTTCTTACAAAGAAGAAGAGCAGATTTGTGAAACCTGGAATATTCCTTTGCCCCGCTTCTTGTCAGGACAACGATAAAATTTACTCGGTTCTGAGTAAATAAAAAGGTAATTTCCATAGTTTATATCTTACACTAGCAACTTGTCCAAGCTATGACACCAGGGAATAGGTAAGTTACATATATTTTTACTGGTTTTATTATTTGTTACAAAACTTCAGAGGTGTACATCTCTATGCAGGCAAGGGTCTGAGATTTTCTACCTACCTCCACTCTGTCCTGCTCAAGTAAATTGAAAAGGATTTAGATAAAAGCACAAGTAGACAGACATACCGGATAAACTATTTTAAACAGAAGCAGATTCAGTTGGAATGCTGAGTCAGCATAAGGTCTGCTCCTGTCTTATATCCTCACTAAAGTTAAGCAGTTAATCCTGCAACGTAAGATCAAACTGAGACATGAGACACAAATATAAAGAAAATATCTACAATGCAAGAAATATGTTCCAAACATTTTTATTTAAAGTATGTGAAGGGTTTACTTACAATTCTTCTCCTTGTTTCGCTTTTCTGTCAGAAACTAGAAACACATTTCCAAAGCTTCCATTGCCAAGTTTCTTCTGAATACTGTATCTTCTTGCAATCATTGCATCTGAGCAAGCAGAATTAAATCTGGCAACAGTGACAGGCTTAGCAGTTTCTTGAAATTTCAGCATTTCTCTGCGTAACAGAAACTACACAAATTTCCCTAGAATGCAGCTTTCAAATCCTTTTACTCTTCCATGAACATTCACGGGAAATGCTTGAAACAGAAAAAAAAAAAAATGTCAATGTATTATTCTTATTAAAATCTTCATTTAATTTTACAGCAGTACTGAGTTTGCAGCAAAGCACAAAATATATGGAACTAGTCGCTAGGCTGTGGGCAGCAGACTTTATAAAGAAATTCCAGATAATGTAGTTGTGACATAGTCAGCTTTCCTCTAAATGAACCTTAAATGAATTCTCTGAACTGATAACACAGGGGAAATGAAATACAGGTGCTTTAATTTATTTCAAGGTTCAAGAGCTTTTTGCAAGAACTACACCAGTATTTTGCCTGACCCTTCCCCTTGATATGACACTCTTCTCCTCACCACCTGTCTTTATATCACCATGGTACCTGATTTTTGTATATACTGAAGCATAATCTCCACCCATAATTTGAGTTCATGCTCATAAATAACCACCAAACTGTTTTATCTGCTCTTTCATTTGCCCTTCAGATTTCACCATCTGTTTTCAGTGCTCACCTCACAAGCTTCTGTCTGATTCACTACTATCTTCTGCAAATTAGAGCTTCATAGCTATCCACGTCTACAAGACTTTCAATAAGACTCAACTCTTCCAAAAGCTCTTAATTTCTCCTCCACTGTAATAATTCTTTCTTGACCCACCTGTCTATCAATTTAGCTGTGATTCAGAATTCTTGTTTAATTGAGGTCCTAATTCTGCAAACACGGGGACTGCAAAGGCAAACCTCTAGTGTTTCTGTGGTTTTCAAGAACTGAACATGAGTTTAGAATAACAGTGTTCCTCATTCCAAATGATAAAGGGTAGGTGTTTCACTGCACATAATAAAACAACATTGCTTTGATTACCTTGCTTTATATAATGCTACCTGCATCATTTGTGTTTGAGAATCCTTTAGAACAAATAAAGATGTTGCAAGATCCTACCATCAGTGCAACTAATACTATTCTCTATCAGCACTGCCCGCTGCAGCGTGGCATGCCCACACTGGTGTTTGTTCACCATACCATTTTAATGTCAATGCGAAAACATCAAAACCCCTTCTTCTTGTTGCTGCTTCGGAAGAGACAAATTGCTTAATTTTAAAAGCTGTATAACTGTTGGTTCCAAGTCAGTGTCTTCCCTTTCTAACAAATGCAGAGCCTACATGAAGACTACAAATTTGTATCTCCCAACAACAGTTTGCGTGTGTGCATGTGCAAGAACTTACTTTAATACCCACCTATGGAGCTGCTGTCACACTGTACCAAAGAGCCTGACATTGCAGTGTCACTATATTATGAAATACAGCCAAATTTTAATTACTACAAGCCATCATAACAATGATACAAATCCTGTGTGTTTTTTAAACAAAAGCACTCCTGAGATTCTGTTTCTGTATTCTCTTTCAGATAGCAAGTGACAAAAAATTTTGAAATGCAAACGCTAAGCAAAGAGTGTCAGCTAGAAAATTACTTCTGTAACACCAAATCTGTCTGAAGAAGCACAAGTGGATCGTGTTGAGGTGTAGGGGAGGGGAGGGCAGGAAGATGAACTCCGTAAAATATCACATTGCCAGTTCTGGAAAGCTTACATATTTTTCATTTACTATTCTATTCTCCTACTAAGTTGCTGTTTTATGGATGCCCTCATAAATTCCAAATAGAAAAGCTCTGAAATACATAACCTTTAGAAATAACTAAACTTACAAAAACTGCTGAACTATCTATTCCTTTTTTCTGGAGAAGAGTCACTTAACATCGCTCACCTTCAAATTCTCCTATCATATAACTTTGTCAAATGCTTTGGTGTTTATTGCTGAAGTGGTACAAGGCTGGGGCCAGTGACTGCCGTTGTGGTGTCACAGAAGAGATGGATTGCTGAGCCGCTGCATTTAAAATACCCTGTAAAGAATCATTAGACTTTTAGAGCCTTACTCAACCATGAGACTGACTGATTCTTTGAGAAGTACATGAACAGGCAGCCCCTCCTACCTCACTCAAACTTTTAGCCCAACCTTCCTTGTATTTTTTTACCAGTGTCCATCTTCTCCCACTGAACAGGTATTTCCCAAGCAGCAGCACATCAATTGCTTCATTAAAGTTCAGAACAACTAGAGATAACTCAAAGAAAACAACTCTCCAACCGCTTATCAGAAATCACAGTTTACTTTAACCAGTAACACTCTGGTAGAGTTTATGTTCTTAACTTTCTTCACCACCACCACCCCCCAAGCCCCATTCCAGAGCCTGGCAGACTGCTGATGACAAACTAATGCAATTATATTGTCTGGATGACTATTTTAACTTTTTCCTTCTTCCTTGGCTAGTGTTAAATCTCCTTCCTCTTTTTTATTGTAAGCTAATGCAAACTTTTCTTTAGGGTTTCATAGTTCCACCCACACACGCTAAGCACACAGCACCTCCACTTCTACCCCTGATCTTCCTTTGCTTACAAAAGTAAGATATTGTTTCTAATTTCATTTACGCAACCTTCAGGTTTCTTTAGCAACGGCTAACATACTCTGACACTTTCAGCCTCCAAGATAAACCCTTCTTTACCAATCAAGGCCATTTTCCAATTCTATCAGGTTTTCTTTTTGTATCTGAAGAAGTCCTGTGTTACATCAACATTTGCCACCCCCACCCCACCCCTTACAGTACAAATTCGAGTTTTTGTATTTAAACTCCAAATATCCTCAGTATTTACTACCTTGAATTTTTTACTTCTAATGACTTCACTGACCTGCTCCTTTATGCCTTCTGAAAATTAAAAAAATGAGATAGTTTTTTTCCTTAATTTAAAAAGGAATTAACTCCTAAACGCTGGCTCCATTGTTATTTTCTGCAACATTTTTATAAACCTAGCCAAGTCTAAAGTAACATCCTCTCAGTTGGCTCTGTTTATCAGTGCTCCCAGAGAAAGGATAACTAAGAAAGATTTTATAAGTAGCGTCGGTAGCAAAGGAGCTTACGAGTGATGGTAAAACCAGGTCAAATGTACTTGACTATCAAAAAAGCTAATATCTTCCCGACACACATTCAAGAAGCCAGGATCCCCCAGGACAACCTCAGAGCTGTTATTACCTTATTAAGAGACCCCGTAAGGCTCAAAATTTACGCTCCAGAGGCCTGGGGGCACACACACACACACACACAGGTACGAAGTGAGCCGGCTTCCCCGCCCAGCTACCCTCGCGCAGAGGGCCGAGGGCAGCACGCCGCCGCTCGGGCCCCTTCCCCACCTCCCCGGAGAAGGCGGTGCTCCCGGGGAACCCCCCTCGGCAGCGGCACAGCGATCCCCCCACAGCCTTCTCCCCCTCCAGCGCCCGGCCCCAAAGGGCCGTCGGGGCGAGAGGGCCGCCTTGACGGCGGGGACGAATGTACCCCCAAGGGTCCTCCGGCTACCCCTTGGGACGGCTTGAGGCAGGGCGCTGCCAGCCCGGGGCGAAGGAGGAAGCGGCCCCGGGCTCCTACCTCGGCCCGGCCGGGGGAACCGGAGCGGGGTGCGAGGGGAACGCCCAGGCCCGGCCGCCCCGTCGCTAGGCGACACCGAGAGCCCGCGGGCGGGAAGAGCGAAGGGGAAGCCTGATTGGAGGAGCTCGGCTGTCACTCTAGCGCGACGTCGGGCGGCGTGGCTCCGCCCCCGGAGGAGAAAGGGGAAGGGGAAGGCGGCCGCCATGGGCGTCCAGGGTCTGACGGGCTTCGTGGAGGAGCGCGGGGCGTTCTTCACCGAGCTGCGGGTGAGGGACACCAAGCTGGTGATCGACGGGAGCAGCCTCTACCACCGGCTGTGCTTCGCCTCCGCCGGCGACTTCCGCCGCGGCGGCGACTACGGCCCCTTCGCGGCGGCCGTGCGCGACTTCTTCGGCAGCCTGCGGGCCTGCCGCGTCGCCCCCTTCGTGGTGCTGGACGGCGGGCGCGGCGCCGGCGACAGGAAGCTGGCCACGCTGCGGAGCCGGGCGGCCGAGCGGCTGCGGGCGGCCCAGGGCCTCGGCCGCGGCGAGGGCGGCTGCCTGGTGCCGCTGCTGACCCGCGAAGCCTTCGTGCAGGCGCTGGCTCGGCTCGGCGTGCCCTTCGTGCAGTGCTTCGCCGAGGCCGACCGGGAGATCGCCGGCTTGGCCAACCGCTGGGGCTGCCCCGTCCTTTCCCTCGACAGCGACTTCTGCGTCTTCGACCTGGCGGGCGGGTACTGCCCGCTCACCCACTTCCAGTGGCGGAGCGTCTGCGCGGGAGAGGGGCCGCAGGACTGCTACGTCCCCGCCCGCTGCTTCTCCGCCGAGAAGTTCTGCAGGCACTTCCGCCACCCCAACAGGAGCCTGCTGCCCCTCTTCGCCGTCATGAACGGGAACGACTACCTGGAGCTGGCGGCGCTGGAGGTGTTCTTCAGCAAGGCGCGGCTGGGCCGGGGCGGGAAGCACGGCCGGCTGCAGGGGCTGCTGAACTGGCTGGCGCAGTTCGCGCAGCCCGGCGAGGCTGTGGACGGCGTGCTGGCCTACCTGAAGAAGCACCAGAGAGAAGAAATAAGGGAGCTCCTGTGCGCCTCGATGGAGGATTACACGCCGTCCGACGTGAAGCTGGAGGACTTTTTTCGGGAGGGGAGGTACGAATGCCAGGCCGCCAGGGAGGCGGACTTGCCGCAGTGGGTACTGGATGCTTTGGCGAAAGGTCGGCTGGCCCCGTTCATCAGCGACGCCCTCCTTCTGAGAAGCACCTTCCTCCACGTTCAGGTGGAGAACACGCAGAGACCTAGCGCCCACAGCGCAGCTTTGCCCATCCGACAGGTTATCTACGGACTGCTGCTGACAGTGCCTCCGCGTACCGAAGGTGCTCCTCTGAGTGAGCAAGCTGGCGAGCTGCCAGTTGTGCGTGAGTTTGACAGACTCCAAAAGACACTTAAAAAAACGTCTGTTCAAGCAGCAAGCCTCCCCGCGGGGTTTTGTGATGATCGTTTTTCTTTGGGCAAGTTAATGGAGGTAAATGGTTGTCACAACAGATCGCAGTTAACGCTGTTTCATGAGTGACGAAATCTAGTTGGGAGTCGTGTTTGCCAACTGCTCGCTAAAGGTGATGCCTCAGTAAGTAACTACGTAACAAAGAGGTACCTGCAGGGCTCCGAGCTTGGCCTGCAAGAGTTGAGAAGCTACAGAGATTGTCTTGGTCTTCTACCTTTTCTGCCCTCCCCCCCACCCAGGGGTATCAAGACAAATTAGATGAAAAGCTGGTTGTGTGTCTATGCAGCATTGCCTCAATTTTCCATTCTAAGCCCTTCTTTCATCCTGTGTATTCTCTTACACTAAGACTTGATTTTATAGTTACAGGAAGGAACTCATGACATTTAGAAAAGGGCAATTTAACACTACAAAATTTATATTTGACCAAGCTATGGATGTTCCGGAGCAATGTTCTGGAACAAAATCTGACCCATGCATTTTTACTAAAAGTCACCATTATTTCATGTATGAATCTTGCAGCTGCCCATCAATTTTACCTGCCACAAGTATGCATCCTGCTAACTTGGACACCTGCTGCTTACCAGACAACAGCACCTGAAAACTACCTTGTAATCAAAGGAAAGTTGTACTAGGTTAGTTCAGTCACCAATAGCTATTCTGTATATTTGAATTCTAATGATTGAGATTAACTCATGCTGTGAATGGAAAATAATCTCCCATTCCCAAAGTTGCATAACTGAGGTTTTGTATGCAGTCATTTCAAAGCATCTGGAAATGCAATCTGTGTCTCTTAATACTGCATATTTAAGCCACATGCTCTATCCATCCTGGCACTCAGATCAACTGTTAACACATCTCTGAGTGTGGGCTGTGCTGTATGTTTTTATCACTTGCTGGTGGCTATTTCATATAAGAACTGAGTCTATCCCTACTGCAATCATTAAATGCTACAGATAGGCATGAATCCCAAAACCTACATACAGGTTATTTTACACAGGATATTGTTACAGGCCTTTTAAATGAGCAAAGACTTCTGTTTGAAAAAAAAATGTTTGGGGATTTTTAAGAAACGTTAATGACACCTTACTTTGGTCTTGGTATGTATGCTGTTTAATTAATTTGAGCTTCTGCTATTATAACTCTCCTTACTAAATGCATGGAAGTTACCTGCTCAGCAGAAGGTTAGAAGAAGAAGAAAGGTTATTTTGTATTTAAACTGCTCTAGGCAAAACTGATTTCAGTTTGTGTTCTATGGGGCAGTCTGCCTAAGAACACACCATCACCCTAATCAAGGTTCACAAAGCACTCCCAATCGCAACTGAATGACCTGCTGCGATTTTGCTACATGTATGAAGTTATGACAAAGTTTGTAACATCACTTTTTAGAAGTAAAGTAGCACAACAAAGAAGGAAACATGGTAGGAATTAAGACATTGCAGGTGAGAAATACAAACTTCACACTTAAGATTTCATTGTGATCACAGGTAAGTGTGTGTGTGTTCAGCGTACCAAGAACAGACATCACCATTACATCTCAAGGGTAACTTCTGAGAGGCACAAAAAGAAAGTTTTTATGTAAATATATATATTGATGTAGATTTGCCATATGAAAGTAATTTTAATGCATTATGGGTACAAGACTTTCCAAGCAAGTCACTTTTATATAGGAGTTTAAGTCACCTAATTTGAAGAAGACTGAAAGCTATTAAAACCTAACCTCAAGCAAATGTAAAAAATTACTTACTCTTCTAACTAACATTTAACTATGTAGTTTTTAAAGTTTAAGTAGTATTTAAAAAATACTTCCTGTTCAGAATATCTATAAAACTTAAATAACTTTATTGAAAATATGAAGTACTAGCTAATTTAAACACAATTTATTTGCCTTTTAGAAATTGCTCACAGCAAATAAAGTTTCTTACCTTTATTTTTTCTCTCCCATTTTTAAATCTATTTTCAGATGCCCATGTCATGCCGTCAGATGCTTTTGCTTGAGACTCTAGGAGTGAAAATGAATTTTCTAGAATCTATTCCCAGTCACTTACAACTCGCTATTGCTGTAACATGTTACTGGATATGTTGTTCAGAACCAAAAGTTACATTGCATCTATTAAAGGCTTTACTTCTAATGATAGTATCTGGAGAACTGCACAGGATAAACGATCCAGGTATGTCTCCAAATAATGCAATTTTAGGTGTTCAGCTACGATGAAGTATCTATACCATAATTAATTTTGTCATTTATGATGAGTTGTCCAAATTCAGATGAATTGGCATTGATTTACACTATATCCCAAGGTATCACATTCCTTGCATTGATATAGAGCAGAGAAACAGTGCTAGCCATTAATTTAACATACAGTTAAAATAGTACTTTGCCATCTTGTAAAACATTAATTTGCATTTATAAATGCTTTGTTTAGGACTAAAATACTTAGATAGAAAAGTTATAAAAAATAAGCTTAACACACTCATGCATCAAACGAGAATAACAACTGATGCCTTGACAGATTGTTACTTCTTGTGAGTTTTTTCTAAAATTATCTGTACTTAAAAATGCTGAGTTGCACGTGTACCCTTTATCTGCCTGTGTTTTGCAAGATTCTGAAAGTACTAAATTATCACATAAATTGTTTCACTAATATTTGTACCTACTAGAGTTATGGCAGCATTTCCTCTAGACCACCTTCATTTGATGGCAGTGATGACACATCCCAGGGTTACAGTTTCTTCAGGTTCTCGTTTGTAGAAACTGGACTGACATGGTTACCACACGCTTCCCAAGTGGGAGTAAGATGGAAATCTTGTTTGGAATTGATTCACTCAGAACAGCAAGGCAAATTACCTAACAAATTAAGTTCCTGATTTCACAATTTCAGATTCTCATGGATATTCATACTTGAATTTTTACTCAATTTTATGTCTTTAAGTTCAATTTGAGTCATCTGAAAACCCTACTAATGCTTCCTGAAATAGAACTGGAGGTTTGAAGACCCTATACCTTGCAGATACCTTTTGTACTGTTCACAGCAGAACTTTTATTTGCACGTGATTTTTTATTTCTAACCTAGATACCACAGTTTTATGCACTGAAGATGAGAGTGTTGCATATAACGAATTTCTAAAATGGAAGGAAAAGAAATTCAAAAATAAATACTTCGATTTAGATGCTGCACACAGTTTTTGCCAGTGGCAGTGCTGTCTTCAGATGGGATTGTATCTCAACCAGCTACTTGGCACTCCTCTCTCTGAGCCAGACCTGAGTAGGTAAGGATGTTTCAGAGACGTGCTTTCCAAACAAGCCCCTGATGGAATGTGTTCACATTTTATTTTGTGTGTCAAACTCCTTTGGCCCATTCTACTGCATTTGAACTCCCTTCTTTTTTTTGCTAAACAGCATGTTTCTGTACCTGTCCTGATGAGGTCTAATTCTAAATGAGGATTCTCTCCTTCCTTTGAGCAGGCTTTACAGTGGGACGCTTGTGCACAGATTGTATCAAGAGCTTAAATCAACACCTTCAGTGGAAAATCTGTTTAGTTTATCTCCAAAAACTACACAGCTTTATCAGGTATTGTTAAGTACAGTAGAGTCAATTGTACCTCCAGACTTCTTTCAGAAGCCGACCGAGACCAAATCTGAGTCCTGCAAAAAGAAGAAAGCATCTAATAAGAAAAAAAAAGCCACCACATGTGCTGTACCGGCAGCTCGGCATTTATGCCAGGTCAATAGGTTTGCATCACTTGCAGTGGATGAGTGAAAGGATTATTCCTGGAATAATTTTTAATGCTGTGCAGATGGAAGAAATTATATTAAAATATGGGACTGTATTCAGATTTGCACAGCAGTTTTCACACAAGTTCCCAATTCAATCTTTACCTACAATTTGTGCTTTGTGGAATTTTTTAAATTGACTTTTATACAGTGCCTCTTTTATAAAAGTGTTAGTTATAAAAAAAAAGTTGTAGTGTTTTGCTTGGTTTTTAAAGGTATTGGTCTAATTGAAAATGAGAGCAAAGCTGTTCAGCATTTCAGAGCTGGGCTAGTGTAGAGGATTTGTTTTCCTAAACATTTATAGTTGGCTATCCCTCCATCTCCCTGAACACTTCTAATTTTCAAAAAAATCCTATTTTTAAATGTGAGAAACACAGTGATTACAGTCTTACAGATCAGATTAAAATGGAAAGTGAAAAGTTTTAAAATACTGTAGAATCAGTCTTTACAGGTAGAGCACTGGTATGTTCAGGAAGAGCTAGCTTTACTCAGTGACAACCGAGTTGTGCTTGCTGCATCACAGGTACTGAACTATACTGGGGGAGAAACTTCAGCTTTTATCCCCTCCCCTGCCCCCCTTTTGGTATGTTTAAGGAAAGAGAGTTAGATGCCTCTAGGCACACACAAAGCTATCACACGATAGCAAGTTTTTGAACGTGGTTTTCTCATAAAATTATTGCTTTTCCAGGGTCTTTTCCCTATACAATCTAATTACTATATTTGTGCTTTTTCTCCTCAAAAATTCATATTTTTTTACATTCAGGAAAATCATGGTTTCCACCTTTAATCATTAAGGTTTTGCCCATCACTTTCCAGAATTCAAGCCTCATTGGGTGTTTGGTTTTCAGTCCTGGTTACGCCAGCTACCTGACAACTATCCACAGGGAAGGAACCCGCTAGATCTCGTGGCTTACAGGAACCATCTCTGGTATCATACCGCTGAGGCTTGACCCTGCCATAATATATTCAGTGAGAATAGATTTATAACATCTATTCCATTAATGAAAAAATTATTTTTGAGATACAGTCTGATAGTATTTAATATTTCTTCCAGCATGAAAGCTGCTACTTACTAAACTACCAGCAGATGGCACCTAGGCTCAACCATGCAGTCAGTTACTACAACTTTACAACCCATTTCTAAGTAGACTTCTATTTGCAGCAATCTACACAGTCTCACTTCCATCAGATGACTTTAAATAAAGTTGAAAAGGCTTAAAGTTCTTGATTTTAGTAACTAAAACTTAAATCCTTAATTATCCAAATCTGTTATGATCCCACGTGTTTCATTTTACCAAGCTTGTAGTTCCTTTCAGTTTTTAATCACTGGAAAGAGTCACATTTAAAATAAGTCTTACATATGAAAATACTGGCATCTTTGGTGCCACTTTGTTCGTGCTGTGAGAAGAAAGATCTTAATTTACTGTGAATCCCATACTGGAAAAGTACTAGAGAACATAAATTCTTGAGACTTGCTGAGGAGTACCTTCAATTAGATAGTTCAGAAGATGGGGATAAACTCAAGTGTTCCACTTTCGGATAAAAAGGCTGCTGTGATCACATGGCATTTTGAGAATACCTTTGGGAGTGCTGACTCGATGATGAAGAATTACTCTATTGGAAATGTGTTCTCAATGAAGAACTCCAGCTGATCTTTTTTGCTAATAAAAAGAAATACACAGCATTGTAAATACCAATCCTGTATGTGGAAGAAAATAATTACTGACTCTTGGGTTACTATTCAGAATTTAAATCAAATGTTCTGATTTTCCTTTTTGAGGTATCATAGGCTTCCAGTCATCTTTGGGGGAAAAATTAAAAAAAAAACAAAAAAAAAACAACAAAACAAAAGTGCTCCTATTAAAACTGAAAAGTTCTGTTTTCCATGCTTTAGTAAGAACAACTAAATTCTTCGGTTGCTGTCTATTTTCATCCCACATTAAATGCCTCCTTTTTTGTGGAAAAATCACACTATTGATTCAATTGTTCTGGAAAAAAAATCAAACTTGCTGTTAGGTGGTAAAGATCAAGACTGGAGCCAAAAAATGGCAATGGAATTCAGCCCACATGTTTTTCATAAATAATCAGATTTAGCTACATGAATTACTTATTTCATCTTCCATTAGAAAACACACCAAAACTTAGTTTGGCATATTTAAAGTGAATTGCATTCAATTAAGTTCACCTTGCAAGAAGGCAGAATTGTTTGTAAGAGACTGAAATTATGTCTTGTCTAGACTGACATACCTTTTTCAGAAAGTGAGACTTGGGCTGGGAAAGGGATACTTCCTAAAATTTATTTTAAAGACTAGGCATTAACACTTTCAAGCTAAGATGACAAATTGGCTTTTATCGGCACTGCTGTACTTACCTGGATTTCTGGGACTCTGAGTGCAGAGCACAAAGCAGTCAAATCCCATGGAGAATATCAACAAGTTAAGACTTACTATGTGAAAAGTAGAGTTGCTGTACTTTTTCAAAACCCAAGTTTGTTCAAGAGATTCTTCCATCAGCATGCACTGTCAGTTTTTACTACCTGTCTTTACTGAAGAATACTAAGTATTTTATTAGTAAGTGTTCTGAAAATGTATGGAAATTCTGAACAACCACAGCACCACTTGCCAAAGACAGTAATAGTTCAACAGGAGGAACACTGACAAATCTGTTCCAACTTCCAAAAGGCAGAACTGCTGGAAATAAACTTTTGCTTGAAGACGTGAGAGCACTGCTGTAAGAAGGCACCTTGTTCAGGCTCTACCAGCTCAGTGGTTCACATAACATCGTGCAAGAAGAGATGAGGGCCATATGCTGCAGTCTTTCCCTTTGCACAACTTGATCTCCAGCACAGTGGTAGTCCAGGTAACACGTGCATGTGGAGCAGGCCCAGGGTCAGCCAGGGCAACGGGTGAATTGCGTGTGCAAAGCAGACTCAGCGGTGCACTCATGTCCTGTCTGCAACCCCACTTCCTGACCAAGTCTGCCAATCTCCAGAGGAAAAAGAAGAGAACAATTCAAGTAACCTCTTAGCAGAGAAATTCCTACAGCACTTTCTGAACTGCCTCGTTTTCCATGAACTCCTCAGATTGAGCATGACACGTGGGGCCACAACGGTGAGAAATATCCCAGTGCCTATTTACAATTCCTCATTAACCGACAGCATGACCATGATGACAGCATGGCCCAGAGCCAATACCAGTGCTACCTTTCAGGCTACACTGTGAAAATATGTGTATGCACATGCTTTGGAGCAAAAGAGGTACCATTACATCGCCAACTTCCCCTAGAGACCTTAGACATCCTCTTTTCAATATTCCCTAGGTGATAGTTCCTTGCATTTCCTCAAAGGATGACGAGTCCTACTCTGTTGAGAAGACACTGATGACAACAGCTGCAAGTCTATTTTGAGGAAGAACACTATTTCCACTTAGTGAATATTAGAATATTTAAACATTATCATATATTTAAAATAATTTTAACATATATATATTAATCTATTATAATGCTTTTCTAGTCATAGAAAGTCATTCTGTAGGGTAAAATTTTAAGTTACATCACCAGTAAAAACTTTATGATCAGGCTGGAAGAAGGAAGAGGAAGGAAAACCAAGCTTCTTTGAAAGAGGGGTGGGGTTTTTTGCTACCAGAGTGAGGATTAGTGCATTCATTTTCTAATTCAATGCACTACAAATCATTTCAATAACAGTACTGTCTTATAATCACTCAAGTGATCTAACAGTCATAAGCTAAAGTAAATATGGAACTAGACATGAAACAAAGCTGGTATCTAACATTATACCAAAACAAGCATGCTAATCTAAGTACCAGTTTCTTTTAAAACAAAGAGACAACACACTTTTAAGAAAAGCAAACATTTACTTCAAATTGCAGTATAGGCTTTTCAATCACAGAAAAAGAAAAGGAAAAACAGTGATCTGACAGCGGTCACATCCTGTGCAAAAAAAAAAAAAAAAAAACAAAACCAAAAAAACCTCGGGATACAAAATAAAAACCTGTAGCACAAGGTACTTGAGCCGCTTACACATTGCAGGATAAAGTAAATAAATACAGTAGCTAGAATATGGCACTCTTGTGACAGACTCTAAACCCAGTGGAATGCCTCTGAAATATTTTTTTATCCTTGTATTAGTAGCAAAGTCCCACCACCATAGAAGTAAAATAGTACAATGTTTTAAATAAAAACAAACTAAAATATTTATATCTAAGAGAAGGATTTTACACAGTTATATCTTTTAAGTGCAGAAAATGGGACTTGGGCTTAGATCTTTCTTTAAATTAACCCCCCCACACACACAAAATCCCATTCAATCTCAAAAGTAAATTTATGTTTGAGGAAAAATGTTACCAAAGTTGCATAATTTCATTTGTTACTCCCACAGCTGGAAGTTAAATTCTAAACAGTCTTGAAACATGAACGTTCATCATTAGCCAGTGAAACAATGGACTTGTCAAAAGCCCGCAGGATTTCTCTATCCTTCAAATATTGTTTTCTTTCTCCTAAATCTTTAGACAGCAATCCCTAAGTTTGCAAACAAATGAATGCAATATGCATCATACATCAAGAAAAGACGAAGTTGACGAAGAAGAACTTCCACGTTTCTGGATCTTTTCCTTGCTTCTTTCAAACTTCTTTATGATCTCAGTCACTATGCACACAGAGGAAGTGAGTCCCAGAAGGAACAGTAAATCTGGAAAGAGATAATTAGCCTTTTTTAAATTTTCTATTTAAGACTGAGGGCAGACTTACAAAAGAACAAGACTTAGAAGACATTCAAATTGTCTCCCAATCATTGGGTAAGTTGAGGAGAAATGAAGCAAGAATTAATTTTTGCAGAACTAGAAGATTAACATGCATACTTTATACACAGATTGTAAGTACAGGCATGATATTTCAAACTTCTAAAGTATTTCATAATCCCATTTTTATTAACACCTACGGAAACAGAGAACGCTAAGCAACATAATTAACTTCATATTGAAAAAATATTAATATAATCAGAAATGATACTGGAGTTAAAAGAATTGTGTAAAAAATATGTATTTCACGACAATCATTTATCTTTAACTCCAGAAAACTGCAGAAGTAATAAATGGAAGTCTTAATGAGGTCAACAGCTTTATGTATCTATAAGTTCTTAAAACCCTCATGTCTTTTTACCCTACGATAATGCAGCTAGTTAAGTATAAACACCGTATTTAGAAATCTTGGTCCTTTATTAAATAGAGAAAAAACGTGCGAAATAGCATGATTAATAGTGCTTAAAAAATTTCAATAGACTCTATGCTTCATTTTTGCCTGCATCAAAATTACATTCAAGAAACCTAATATATATAAGCACCTAAGAAATTTAAGAACACACTGAGTAGTTGGGTACCAGATGCCTTTAAATCATGGTTCCCAAAGAAAACATCTCAAAGGATTTTATTTTTTTCTTCCAAAAAAAGTCAGTAGGCTTTGCATTCCCATTGTATGCAAACAGTCAGGAAGTGCTCTTATAGAACCATCTGCTAATGCATTTACAGACAGTTTTGAAAAGGAAACTGTTCTTACCCAAGACACTCAGGCTCTCTGTCTGGAAAACCTTCTGAAGTGGAGGAAAGTAAATGACCAATAACTGCCCCATTATAGACCCAAGGACGGCATAGCAGAACATTTTGTTACTGCAAAGTCCAATCTCAAACACAGATTTTGCCTGTAAAATAAACAGCACCTTACACTGTACATGTAATCTTAATTATCTAGACAGTATTTGTAACTACATCTTCTTTTCATCCAGACTTTTATAAAAATATAAAAAAAATCATTGTTGACCTTTTAGATAATCCAGAACAAGTTCTTGAACAGGCTAATTGCATTTTCTCTATAGTAAACAGAGAACAAATCTTGTCTCCATAGTCAACAACTTGTATATTGAGCTCATTTTTCTGCAAGTATACAGTGCATTAGAAAGTGTCCTCTATACTAGAAGGAAGTGTTTTCATTAACCGTAACAATTCACATTAGAAAACAGACTTCAAACTAGAGTAAATGTAGTAATGTATACTAGCAATGTACTTTTCTCCAACAGCACAGATTTTCAGACTGGTTTCCTTAAAACAAAATACAGACAGGAAAAACAGTTTAAGAAATTTTCCTCTGATTATGGGTTTAAGGTTACAAAATAAAAAAGTTAAGGCCTTCAAAAAGTTTCAGGTTCTGGCAAAGATGCTGAAGTGACAGAATTTTCAGGACAAAAAAAGTAACAACCAGTATACACAGCAATACAAAGGACCATCACACTTCAGCTTTTAATAAAAATTTCCTTGCTTCTGTCAGGACAGGAGCACTACGACCAGCTCTGAACAAATTAAGGAAACCAATACTTATCTGTAATTAAAGAAATCTTACCAGTAAACATGTGAAACTCTGAAGTTTAATAGAAGATGTGAAGTAAATTTGCATGAAAACATTTGAAACAAACATAGCAAAATCCTCCCTCAAAGTAAATTCTGCTTATTGTGCAAGTATTGTGTAAGTGGATAGTATGATTCACTTACCTGAGATCTAGAACTCAAAGCATTGAACATATCAAAAAATACGAAACAGGTGAAAGTCATGGTTGTATCACGAGGTGTTATTACATTGTCTCTTAACTGCCAACAAAAGAAAATGAAATGGCTTTAGCATGCTTTAAATACTCCACAACTAAACAAAGTTATTACAATAATTCAAGTTCTGCTAGCTTGTAAATGAAAGTAAAGCAACTTGTTTGGCCCAAGCTGATTTAATAAATCATACAGCAAAAATTATGCACCCATAACTTATAACAATTTGTAATTCCAAGCTATAATTAAATGAAGCCTCCTGACAAACATTTATGCAAGCACATGGAATACCAAGAATTCTATGATGCACTACCAAAAGTTAGAACAACATTTTTCTCTACTGGGAAAAGAAAGTCAAATGGCTGTTTCATAGTAGTCTGGCTAGAAGATTTGTACAATTACCTTCTATGAGCCAAGGTTTCACAAGTAGATTTGGGACCTGGAAAGGTCTGTGTTAAAACAGAGATTGAGGAATAAAACTGCATTCCTCATTTCAACAACTACTTCAAAAATCTTCCTCTCTAATCTGCTAGCTGAATAGATTATTAAATAAGCATGGATAAAACTTGCAGCCAAGTTCATACAAATTCTGAATTCTATCTGCTGGTATGAAAAGGACTCATTTTAAATTAGTTTGTTACTACTTTAAGTTTTGTACTTTTGTCATACCTCTCTCCAGAAGACGAACAGTGTTCCACACACGATAATTACTGATGAAACCAGTATTTTAACAATCAGGTTTTTGGTCAGAATGCTGTCCTTCAAATTTCTTGGAGGCTTCTGAATAACATCTTTATCCACAGGCTCCACCCCAAGACTTAGAATTAAAAGAACACCTTAGATTTTTATTACCGTAAAAATAATTCACCGTGTCTATCTTATAAACTAGATTCTCTGAGCTGAAAGAAAGATTTTAATCTCCCCTTTACAGTCTAAGCATCATCTCAAATAAGCACATGATATTTTCACTTTCAGAAAACAGAGTTGTATGTATTAGTAACAGGCAATATTCTAACACTGGCAGTTTGAGAGTCCATAAATACATAACATCAGACAGTATTAAAATTTCCAGATGTCAGTTTGAAAGGAAGCTGCAGTATTAGTTATGTTCCCCGTTTCTGCTACTGTGGTCAACCTAGCTAAGGAATTTACTGCCAATTCCTTTCCACCTCTCCCTCCACCATCTATCTGCAGTGAAGAGAATCAAAGAAGAACCCAGAGGCAAGTCAGAATCCCACATGCAAGTCTCATGGGCATATCTGTGGATCGTACGGTATCCATGCTGTCCCCATAATTATTGTTAGATACTAAAGCAAACCCAAAGGAATGAACATAGAACTACACTGCAAAAATTGTAATTCAAAGAAAAAGTTTGCTGCTTCATAAACATTTCACTGAAGTTTAACACTTCATAGTTTCCTTTATGAGCAACCATTTTTGTTGCTGAAATAAAGACTACAGACCTCTAATGGAATTTAAAGTCATTACTTACCTTTGAGCTGGAGGTCCATCCATAATAATATTGATCCATAAGATCTGCATGGCATTGAGAGGATTAGGAAAGTTCATTAATGTAGCCAGTGAGATTAAAGTCAGTGCTGCTATACTCCTGTTGAAAGAATTCATTTTTATAACTGTCAGCATGAAACATTTCTGAAGATCCACTGATAACTGCTTTCTAATCAACACTTCAACTGTTGAAGAGTAGATACAGATTTTGACAGTGTGAATAGCGACTGATGTAACCCTAACTTTAAAGGTAGAGCATGAATTCATTTAGAATACTCATCTTGACACAGTCCATATTTAAACCAGCCTTGTTTTGGCAATAAAAAGACCGCAAATTCACATCTCAAACTTTAAGATAACATTTCAGTTATCACTCACCTTCACCTAATTGTTTGTTTTTTTTTTTTTTTTGTTTTGTTTTGTTTTTTTTTTTTTTTCTGGGAAACCAGGTCCTATACTTTCTTTGTGCCAGAAGCAGAACTTCTAAGCATGGTTTTGAAAAACAAACTGCTTTTACACTTTTGACGTAAGCACCACCACTCTGTGCACCTGTCACTAGTTTGACTTACCAGTTAAATTAAGGTACTAGCCAAGCTCCCTAAAAATACCTTCACCACCCCTCGTTATTAGGAAGGTGAGAAGGCTAGGCAAAACACTGAAGACAGATGAGCTGGTTGCACACTTAGCATTAGTAACCTTTCTAAACAAGTGTACACTAATTGCTTCCAGTGGAAGATAAAGTGGTTTCATAACCAACAAGAAGAGACCAGGGCTTATAGTAACTCCACATTTAGCACTCTACTGAACACTGTTATGCTCTCCATGCAAAGAGGGACAGGAAAAAAAAAAAAAAAAAAAAAGGTAACTCATTCATCAGAAACCTGAGGCTACCACTCCCAAGGCCAACAGGCAAGAACACTTTCCTAGACTATCTATGCTTCATTATCTTTCAGAAGCAGATTTCTAGTCTTCTACCAATGCATGACACTAGTCAATGTTGAAGTATATGACACTTACAATTTTTATGCAAGTTTTAAGAGGTTGGTGTTTTCTAGGTTTTGTTGTGCTGGGGGTTTTTGGTGGGGATTTTTTTTTTTTTTTTTGGCTTTTGGGGAGGTGTTTTTCTGTGGGTTGCTTTTTTTTTTTTATTTGTATGTTTGGTTTTGTTTTGTTTTTTTTTTTTTACTTTCTGCAACTTTATTCAACCACTCTGAAATGCCATGAAGGCTTCAAAAGAGTACATCAACAACATGGTGAAGAGGAAAACCATGTTCCTGCATCCACAGTCAGTAAGATAGTTTAAAAGATTTTGTGAGATTAAGGCTTAATGAACTCTTGTTTTCTTGTGCATTGTACACACGATAGAGTTAGCATAGGGATCCTTATATGCAAGAAAAGGAAGTCAGCTTCACAGAGCTTATTCCACAAACCAGTATGTGGATTACAGAGAAACTAACCTCCTGTTTCCCTGCTTTCCTCCATTTGAGATACATGTTCTGGTTAAGGAGGGAATGACTTCTAACTTCTCCTTTAAGCAAGGACCCAAAAGGTAGCTATGCTGTTTCTCTCTACCCTCTCAGTTACTGACTTTTCATGTCTTAACAGGACGAACTGTGACAAAGTTAAATGTCCATTCATTGCACTATTTTCTGGTTCTTTAAAAATGAAACAAGCCACCAAATACAAACCACTGAAAATTCAAAAGCGTAGCATATCAGCATCTCCTACACAAAGTTTAAAATATTCACATGAATTAATGAATCATCTGCTTCATGATGCTTTGATTCATTCACAATGTAGTTAGAACCTTCTGATACTGTCCACTTTTCAAACTTACGTGCTCAGTTGAAATCTAACAAAATTTTTAATGTTATTATAAATTCCTTTACCCTCTTCAATTGCAGACCTGCAATTAAAAATAAAGATTGCATCACTAGACAAATGAGACTACTGCCAAAAAAGCTGAAAACAAACCAAAAAAGCTATTATTTTATGCAACAATACAAATGTCAAGAAACAAATGGAGTTGAAGGTCTTGTAACTTTGGCAGTCATTTGTTTTTCAACTTGACTATGAGATTAATCACAGTAGTTATTTTTCTAGCTGCTTAACTTTCAAAATTAAATGTCAGCAGTAAAATCTCCTCCTTGTTCAAGATTCACCATCATCCTTAATGAGACCTTCCGAGTCAAGTTAGATAAATAAATAAAAAAAAAAAAAAAACACATATGCTTTTACAAAACCATAGATATATAACATGACTTTAAAAGACCATTTATTCTTACTGCACCAGAATGAAATGTGTATAGTCCATCTTCTCAACATCTAGCATGTGTTGCAACTTGCCTATCATATTACGGCAATTATAGCACTGAGAAAGTGTTTTCTAATTCCTAAATCAGGTCTACTCTGCTGCAAATAAAGCTGATTTCTTTCTTCCATTCCCCCAATAGCCAAGAACAATTGATCATCGTTCCTTCTGTAACTTTTAAGACAAAAAGATTAAAGGGGTTGGGGGGAAGATTTAAGACTACAGAAGCTCATACTTTTTTTTTCTCCCCTTAGTGTTCACCACTTTTCACTTTCTTTTTGAGAAATTTCCTGATGAGGTGAGCAAAACTGGATAAAGCATTCCAGCAAAAGTCTCATCAAGCCCCAGTAAAGTACTTACCACAGAAGCCCTTCCTACATACTCTTCTGAATATCTTAGAATGATTCCCTTCTCTCTTTCGTTTTTGCACAACAGCACATTGCTGTTGGCTGAATTAGTATAGAAACCTTTTAACTCTCAAATCATCCTCTGACGTACTGCTACCTAGATAGATTTTCTTATATTGTACTTCTAGATTTCACTTCTTTCCAAGGGTTAAGCATCATACTTTCAGACAAACTGAAGTGTTCTGAGATTGATGCATCATTTCAAAATGAAGGCTCTCTTGCTAGACAGCAGTCCAGCTCTGCCAACAACCACTATGTGCAAAAGTCAGATGGATTGAATTCAAAGTAAGTTTAGCTATGCTCTCTTTGAAGTACAAAGAAAAAAATGAACAAGTAACGAATAGCTGGTTACCAGAAGTTGGTAACTTATCTTCACCTGTAATATTTAAACAGCTTATATTCCATTCCTTTTCTGAAACACCACCACATTTAAAGAGTTGAAAACACAGCACTGTGTAAAATCTTGAGAAGAAGGCTCTCTCTCATTTTTACATCAGATTTATGCTTCAGAAGTAAGAAATTAAATGAAGATGAATCCTACTGACAGTTAACAGACTCACAATTTCACCTCAGTTATACTTCCAAATATACCACTACCGTAATTCTACTTGGAGAAGCAGAAATACAGGTTAGTTTTTATAGCACATACATGCACAACCTTCTTTTGCTACTTTGGTCTTGTCCATTGATCAGATGTAAGTAACAAAGGTCTAAATATGTAAATACATTCTTACATTATTATTAACGTACATAAAAAGACAGAAATGCTTAGTTCCTCCTTGTTCCCAGCTCTTTTTTAAGAGGATAATACAGGTAATCACCATAAAGATAATTCTCCTGACTTAGCAGAGAACTCAGTAACAGCCACTCCACTTATACGTTCAGGGAATTTCTTTTGTTTTTAACCCAGGCAACATTTACTTTACATAGCACAAGGTGTGTACATAAATGCCACTTACATTATTGTCTGAAAATCATCATCCACGAGGATCATATCTGCTGCCTCTTTACAAACATCTGTTCCCGTTTGTCCCATTGCTACACCAATGTCTGCAGCCTTCAGAGCAACAGCATCATTTACTCCATCTCCTGTCATAGCTACTACTGCACCATTATTTTGCAGGGACTAAAGAAAGGGAAAAGAGTTTAAATCAGGGATTGAAATAACCCAGCCTATGAACTTATCCTAGATATAAAGTTGGTGTCATTGCCCCAGCTCCGCCCGCCAGATCTCTTATTATTCCACTGTAAAATTTTATTTAAAAAAAAAAAAAGCAGCTGTTTGCATTCTAATGAATTTTTTATACAAGATTTTACATTAAACTTCAGTTCCTATTTTCAGACAGCCTACATTTTAAAGCTACGTTGTATAAAATCTGCTTTTAAGAGAAAGTAAAAAACTCTAGAGAAAGAAACAAAATACTGTATTTACATTGTAATATTATCACCCTCTTATAATGCTCCATATATTCCAACTGTCTCAATGTTTGACTTCTTTCTCCTCATTGTTGCTTTTCTGATTGTTCTAATTGTTACACCGAGTATGTCCCTCTCTGCTACTTTTTTTGTTGACTTCTGAATGCGAGCATTACCTCAGACATGGCTTGAAATTCATCCCCTTTTATCTTGTTCTGAGAAGTATCAGAAATATAGTTCTTTCAAGCTCCTAGTCAATTCAACTGTAATGTGACAATCTCAATCAACCCCCAGCTCCCTACACAGAAGAAAGCATAACGTTACCCACCAGCAGCTGCCTATCCCTTGGGGGCGCTACGCATTTTTCTAGGTACTATTTTCAAATACACTTCACTTTCAAACCAAATGCATTTCCGATTTCATCTTGAGGGACTGTAGCATGTTTCAATTTAAGTAAAGGCACCACAAACAGTACCGATAGCACCGGTCCAGCACCTGAGCCTCTAGTACGACGTACCTTTATAATCTTCAATTTATGTCGGGGACTGGCTCTGTAAAATACTGCAACCTGTTAAAAGCACAATGTAGTAGTAGTGAAAATCTGAGAAATATAAAGAATTGCACTAGATTCTATAAAGCTAGAGAATAAAAAAAATACTATCACAAGCCAACTGTACTCATTAGCGCTGAAGTTGAAGCACCAGTGAGCAGTGTTCTTAATAAAGTGAAATCATTAATTCCAGAGAACATTTGAAGCATGTGCTGGTAAACACAATTGGTGCTACTTATTTAAAGATATAATATATTTTAAATTTAAAAACATTCTGAAATCATAAAGCAACTGACTTACAATGGCTTGCTGCTGGCCTTCCAGACTAAATTCATGCAGGTGATTGCCATGCTGACTCAACTGGTGTCCTTTCGCCTTGTCAGCACTAGTAGCAAGCTACTCAGGACATTCCAATTTTACTAGTTTATGTAGCATATTATTAATAGATTGAAGTCTTAAAGCTAATTAATAGTGATTCTAACTTAAAAGGAATTATTAATTTTCAGAATTTTTTTGTCTCTGGTCTTCTCTGTCGGTTGAAATTTGAGCACATGGAATTTAGTCTTCCACAAACTCCATACTGTTAGCATTCACATCTATTTTTTCCTTTTTAAAAATCTGGATAAGAAGTTAGACTTCTCAACAGCCTCTTTAGACTGTACACAGATATCAATCTTATTGGGTGATTTTAATTAATTCCTAATAGGATTTTAAATAAATGCCTAGAAAACAAATTGGGTCTCAGGTCAAACATACACAAAGTAAATCTGTAGCTATTTCAGTTATTAAAGGTGGACAGCCCTTAAGAACAAATATTACCAAATAAACCAAAAATTACTATTTGCCACACAATTATTTTTTAAGTTTGTCTTTGTGAGTCACCAAGGAAAGACACGAAGCCAACATGCACATTTCTTGATTGTAAACATTGGCTTTTGGTTTGCTTACATCAGACTCAAGCATGCTTCAGTCTAATTTTGCAGTCTGTAGCAAACAGAGCAGTGTTTTGACGCACAATTTTGCAACACTGCCAAGCCTGAACCTCAATTTGATTATACCTTCACATTTATAACTTTGACATTGGTTAATACATTTAGTTATTTAATAACGAAAAAGTATTAAGCAGTAACTTAATAAATAGACTCATTCAAAATTCTAAACCAGTGACCTCAGATCGATTAAAAAAAAAAGTCATTAAAGATACAGACAGCTCCTCTTACAAATTACAAAAGCATGGACAGTCTGAACATGCAAACTGTAAGGTTATATATATGAGCTGAGCTACTCAAAGAAATAAAACGGTCTAACAATACAAAAAGGAGATGACACTCACTGAAAGTGAGAGGTGGCAAAATCAAAGTTCCAATGCAGGAACTTTTTTAAAGTTCCAATGAATCGTTAAGAGACAAAGGTAATAAACTCACTAAAATGATAACCATTAGAGTTGAAAGAAATAAATTTTCTTATGGTCATATGTCAAACCAAAAGATACTTGTTTGATCTGGGACAGTTTCCTTGCTTCTGTACTAAAAGCCTCTAGTAATTAACTGTATCACTTCTATAGAACCATGTTGTTTGTATCTCAAAAGTTACGTACTAGCTTTCCACAGGAAAAAAGCATTTGTCAATATAAAATATATTCTTTACTGAATTTCAGTAAGTAGTATATCAAAACAAACCTTTGGTGTTATTTGAGAAAGCTGCTGAATATCCAAATCATCTATTTCTTCTCCAGAGATTGCCTGTGAATTTTTGGAATACAATCCTAGTCGACTAGCTGGAAATAAACAATAAAAAGGTATTATAATAGTTTACCCTTTTAAAACATTAAGTACCCAAATTTATTTTTTTTAAACCTACTATTTTCTGCAGCATTTCAGATCTGAAATGCTTAGAGCAGAACATCTTAAGACCTAAGTGATTCAGTATACTGGAGTAAATTATCTGAATTCTTGAGTAACAAACACATGCTACAAAGTCTGTTCTGATCAGATATTTATTTCCTTAGACTTTTTAGGTCTAAAGGTCTGTAGTTCATTGTATCAAGTGCCATATAAACACAAGACCTCAGTCTTCTCTAAAAAAGTCACACTTCAAAAATAACATGATAGAAAATGAAAAATTACATGGGGGAGAAATAAAAAAGACCCTCTGAGAAAGTACTGCTAGTTTGGGGATGTACATTATAAGCACACATTCAACTTTTTGTTCGTCATCCTGTACGTAAAGAATTCATACGCTGGCTAGAGTACTTGTACTTTAATGCATTATACTGTAAAAATAAGTAATTAGTTCAAACATTCATTAACAGTACTGAAAGAAAGAAGTACTTCAACAAAACTGTACTGGATGGTACTGAAGTGCCATATCCATCCTAAATAGTCATTGTCACTGGCTATTTTAGTTTCTCCCTGTTGCTGTAAGACACGCACCAGAAGCTGATGGTAAGGAGGGTGGCAGTGGGTGTGTAAGAATAAGAATCAGAAATCAAGCATATGTTATAAAAAAAATTCATTAAGAAAATATAGTCACAAACAACAAACATCAAACATTAACCAAATTAGAAAAAGCTACAGTTTAATCTGAAACCGAAGTATCACTTCAGGCCAAGGAGTTGGTTTTTAGTTTTGGGGTTTTTTCCTCCTAATTCTACTGTGTCGTATGTTAAACCAATATACAGAACTGTCAAATGTTAAAGACTTAATACCCACGCTTCACAACAATTAGCTAGGCACTGCCAAAACAGAAAACAAGTGCAAACCAAAAGAAAATGGACTGTTCATACCAATGGCAACTGCAGTCTCCTGTGAATCTCCAGTAATCATTTTTATTGCAACTCCTGATGTGATAAGTGTAGTAACAGCTTCTTTTACACCAGTCCGTGGAGGATCAATTATTCCCACAAGCCCCAAAAAAGTCAGCTGCCCTAACTCAGGCCCAGAAGCTAAGGCCAGAACTTTAAGGAGACAAAGAAAAAAAAAAAAGTTAGGATTTGAAATTAACATTTACATCAGCATTTAAAACAACTGTTTTAAACTAGGAGGCCAGCATAAATCAAAAGGCGGAAATTGCAATTATTTTTTTTTAAACCTTGGTAGCAATGTGTTATCCTGAGTATACAGAATAGCTTACTTATGTATATTCCTTTCTTCTAAAGGGTAGTCATTTTACCAAACATACGTATTCCAGGTTTTAAAGATAACTTTCCTATTTGTTCTCAGATGAAAGTGTTTATACTTTCACTGTGTATGAAGAGAATGGCATATAGCTTTGTGGTTTCTCTGTACATGCATGGTCTTTTATGCAAGAGGATAAAAGGGACAATCGGTTAACATATTTTTATTTTCTGCTCAGTTTTTTGCCTTTTAGAGAAGCAGATTTCATTGAGTATATGCTGAACATTTTCTGGAATATCTTTTACAGTAGGAATATTAACTCAAAAATATTTAAATTACCTTAGAGTTGTAAGGGAAAAACAAAATCACTTTTTTCAAAGCATTACCCTATATTTTTTTGTTTGACTGGTCTGAAGCAGAAACAAAAAATGACTGTCTGAACAAAACAGGACAGAGATACCACTCCTAGCATATCCTCTCAGTTTCTAATAAATTGCATCCTAAGAATTTTCTGAGCCACACAGTACCCACAGTACTCTTACCTAATTTTTTTTTTTTTTTAATAAATAAATAAATTAAGAAGCTGTGGATGAACTTAACAGCCTAGAGGTCTCTTTACAGAGGCCAAAGAAATCCAGCCATGTACAATGCTTGCCCAGAATCACCTCCTATCAATCATCTTGTGAAAAATATTTTCAGTTATTTTTTAACATCTACACAGCTTGTTAACATAAAACGTAATTCTACTGACATCTTCTGGCCTGCAATCAGTTATGTTAGCTTACCTCACAAAGGAACCAGGAGCCAAAATAATAGAAAAATAAACACATTCACATTTTAAAAAAATCCACAGACAGCTATAATGAGATATAGAAGCTATCAGGTAGCAATGTACCATTCAGTTATGGTCACATGCAAGAGATGACTGGAACCAGCACCCTTTGCAATTTAATCATGTTACTACACAGGCCTTAGGCAACAGCACCTGTTGTTCCACTCCCCCATTTTAAAGAAAAACTGAACAACCCAGTGGCACTTACTGAACAAAAAAAAAATTCCAATTGTTTCTGGTTGTTCCTGGTTTTGGTGTTTTTTTTGTTTTGTTTTGTTTTGTTTTTTAAAGAACAATAAGCAATGCCATTAAAAATAATAAAAAAAAAAAATAAAAAAAAAAAAAGGTTATTTTGAGGCACTGAAACAGCCTTACCCCTAAGTCCTGCAGAGCCCATAGATGTCTTCTCTTGCTGGTATTCCTCTCTCTGTTGCTGAACAAGAGGTAGGGTCTGCCCCTTACAGTTGTATGATGTACAGTATCTAATGACTTGTTCATAAGCACCTTTCATAAAGCAAACTTCAGGTTTGTCCTAAAAAAAAAAATTATTGTGCGCACATGTGTATATGTACATACAAATATACACACACAAGCACATACACACCTAAGAATGGCATATCTGTACTTTTCTTAAGAGTCTTCAGAATATAACACAAATCAAAGTTTCACTTCTAAACCTAAAAATTTGCTGAATGTGCTCTGTATAGAGATACTCAAGAGTGGCAATTTCCAGAGCACCAAGCCAATAATCAATATCTCATTTCAGTAGACGTCATACACATTAGACACTGTGGGTCACAGTTTGTAGACTAAAGAGGCCATGCAAAGGACAGAAATTAAACCTACACAGAACATTAGACCTGAAAGGTCTTTAGCTCATCATCTGACCAACTGCACAGGTCATTAAACATCACCTGCATCCCTGTACCATGTCTAACAACTCTAATATTTTCCAGATAATCACCTAGGCTTGATGGTATCAAGGGACTGAAAATTTACCACCCACCTTGAACATTTAACTCCAATGCTAAATCAACTCATCCCTTCCCCGTCTTTTCCATTAAGAATTGCTCCCTCAGCTCAATTTCCAATCACTGATTCTCATCCTCTCTCCTGCTGAACTAAAAAGCTCTTTTTTAATATACCTATTTTCTCTCTATGAAAGTATTTATGCACAGTAGTGAAGTTACCTCAATCTTTCCGATGGCTTTAACTGATAGAGCTCTAAGTTTCTAAACCCACAGCATTTTTCTAGCCTTCAAATAATTTATGCTCGCTTTAAAACTGTTATCAATTTTTCAACAATTTTTTGAAAATGCTGATACCAAAACACAGACACAGTAAATCCTTACATGGATGAAAATCAAATAGCAGTTTAGGCTCACCACTCTTTGTACAGACAATAATACAACCATATTATCCATATAGATAAAAAGGAGTCAAATGCTCCGTTTCCGAAGCAAAGATTTTACTCTGATACTTGAACACTGTCAGAAAGCCTTTTTTTGGTCAGAAAACTAGGAAATTGTCCATAAATCTAAGATAAGGTCTGCTGCTGTACATACTATCTAGAAGGCTTCAGTTATCAGATTGGCAGTGTCAGCCTTTGTAACAAAAACATTTAGATTGGTCTAAATGAAATATGAATGTAAATATGTATGTGGAAAGCACTAGAAGATAGAAAAAGAGGTGAAAGAATGGTTTGTATTGATAATCCAAGGGCACTGTTGATATCAGTAAAATCTCTCAACACTGGGGAACTTGCTGTCTGCATCAAAACCAGAAAACCTGTGTTTTCATACAAAAGAAATTTTGCTATTTAACATCAATGCAACTTCTTGCTCTTAATTCATTTGTAACTATGTAGCACTGAAACAGCAGAAGATTGGCAGAACTGCTTTAGATGTTTGAGGAGGGAGGAGAAGGAAGAAATAACAGCCTGGTATACATTCAAAATCTCAGATATCAAAATACTTTAAGTAATTTCTCAGTATGCCTTTTATGGCAAGAATCTCTTGTGATTCTTAATATCCACTTCAGAGCTTGAAACTAAAACTGTGTCTATTACCAAACCATATTCCCAGGACTGTGCACTACTACCAGCCTGCTGTAACTTCTGAAGTGAAAAATGAGGATATTAAGCAAGGTAGATAACCAGCTCAACAGAGCCAGCGCACGAGGAAACAGTGACTGAAGTTTACCTGCTGTGTTCTGTGAACACATTTAACAGCCATCCATTTTTGTTCTGAGCTGAAGGGATATTCAGCCTTCCTTATGTAGTCTTCCTGGAGTCCATCTAAACCCATCTGTATAAAACAGAAGTACCACCACAATGTCAGGACCTTTTCTTTTCAAACAGCTATGCAATCTGTTGAGATGTTGAGACATCTTAGTTAACAATCATTACTTAGTTAAAAACCAGTTTAATCTCCAAAGTTGCTTTTGAGCACACTCTTCCAGTTTAGACAAACTAGCACTGAAAGAACCCAGAAGCTTCTTTCAGTCTTCAGCATTAAGTCACACCATTTAACACTATATGCTATCTTTGACTCAAGGATCTTCAAATACTTTGTAGATTATGACCATCCACAAGCACAAGTCTTGCAATGGCTGGCAATGTAGCTCTGGGTTTGACAAGACACGTCTATTGCCCCCATGCCTTTTTTATTTTTTTTAATATCTTCTATGTACCTTCTCTGCTTGGAGGGCCTACAAAATTGTAACCCAAGACTGTGGCAAAGCCTGGAGAAGGCAAGGCACTGGTTTTAAGTTTGAATGATCCAATCTGAAATTACTTTTTTTTTTTTTAAGTGGTCAGATTTACCCAAGCACTTAATCTGAAACCAACCATGAAGACTCCAGACAAAATGCATTTAATTTCAAATGCTGTTCTCCCTCCAGCCCTGATGCAACTCACCGCATTCCATGCTCTACCTTTTACCGATACCAAACGAAAGTGCCAATTAAAGATGATGCAGAAGCAGCAGCCTGCCATAAGTCATTCTTATTACTTAGAGAGCTTCACAACTCCTTCATTATCTGCCCTTTCAGCAACTGATGTGAAAGACTCCCGTTCTTCTCAGTTTCTGTGGGCTCTTGCCAAAATAACATCACTCTGTTCCCTTCCAGTCAAAGACTGGGGACTTGGAATGAGTCTCAGCAAGAAGACATATCTATCTCAGGCCTCAGTTACATCGGGAGAGAAAGACTATAATGCATTCATCTTTCAGTATTTTTGAGTTTATCCACCATCACAGAAAAAACGAAAGTCAAGCACTAAAATGCCTTGCCACATTTCTCAGTAATGGGTGTGTCAAAGCATTATAACAAACCCACCAAAACATTTAATCACAGTGTCCACAATTCAAACTACCTGTGCCCTGCACCTGAAGGGCACTATGAATGCTACAGTGACCAATAGATCAGTTATCAACTTCTTACTGCTTCTGATGAGAACTGGGGAAGAAACTGTATAACCAATGTTCAACAGGTAAATTAGCTTGTGGCAGGTAAAAAGAGTACTAAGTGCAAAACGAGGAAAATAAAGATTTTACTTCAGTTTGAAATAATTTTCTCCCATCTTTCAGTGCCCAAAGATTTTCAACAGGAAGAACACAGGAGACTAGCAGTTGCAAGACAAGTCAGAGACCCAATGAAGAAACAAAAGAGAAAAACAAACAAACAAAACACCAAACAAAACCACAACTTATTTCTACACACTTCCCACCTGCCATGAATCCAAAAAGCACCAAATACGCACCTTCATAGCAAGTGCAATTAAAGCCCCTTCTGTAGGCTTCCCCATTAACGTGTTGTTTCTAATCAAAGCATCATTGCACACACAACCGGCCTAGATGTTGAGGAAGGAAAGGGGAGAAAACAGAACACAAAGTAAATGCTGTACAAAGCTCTTGTGCTACGTCATCAATTAAAACTCATCTCTCTGTGCCAAGATCTTACCTCAACAATTTTGCTAATGGATGGGTTGTTATAACCATGAATAACTTCACCATCAACCATCACTTCTCCAAACCTGTTATAGCCTACTCCAGTAACCTGCAAGACAAACAGCCAAAGGCAGTATGCAATGTAATGTTCACCAGGTTCATAAACTGTTTTAATCTCAGCTTTTCACTATAAACTGCAGGAAATTTTAAGAAGGCCATTCATAATGACTGATTTTACTCAGTGTGAATGGATTCTCCTACTCAGCTGCTAATGTAGCAGGTACTAGATTAAGGAATAAAAACTCTGAGGGCATGTGAGTTCAATTAAATATATCAGACACTAGTTTTTTAAAAAAAGTAGCAACTTTATTCCTTAGCATAAATAAATTACAGCATTAGGCATGTTTTCTTTTTCTAATTCTTTCTTTTACTTTCTAATTTTTTCATCCTATTCATCTTTATCCTGGTTAATAATGCATACTCTCTGCAGGGAAGGGAAGTACAAAGTGGAGTCCTACTTCCATCCAGTAAGAAGAAAAAAAAAAAATTACGGAAGTCGTAGTTGAACAGCCTCTTATCTGAGACCTCAGAGAGTTGTTAAAAAGAGCAAAATGGTATTTTTAGTGCATAAAACCAGGCATCCCACTACGATCCTAAAAAAGTTTCCATGTCTACAGTATTAACAGCTAATATATTTTACAGCCATTTCAAGTTCTCTTTCAATCAGGAGAAAGAAGCTGACTTGACCCAGATGTAAACAAATTGCGCTTGTAATAAAGAAAAAGCAATTACATATTCCTATAGAATTCTAAGAATAGAAAAATAATTACCAGGATATACAAGCAAACATAGGTAAATAACAGGAAAGATAAGAAGAAATGCCAGTATTTATGCTTATAAAAGTCGATGACAAGACATTCTGTTAGCTGTAAAGTGGAAAAAACCCTTATTAAGACGAGTTTGAGAATTTAACAACTTATTTAAAACACTCCATGAAACCACAAGCTCCACACCTTGCTGCTTTTCCACTCCTGCTGCTTTTGCTTCTCTTTTGTGCATTTACTTGTCTTTGCAGCAACTCCCCAACCTCAACCACCACTGTTTCACGTCCTGCTCCTACTTCCAACTCCATCCATTACGAAAAAGCAAGAATGACAGTACATACTCAGTATGAAGGGTTCACATAATAAACTGGCTTTTAGTCCAAAGTTGGATATCCCTATTTTAAATGTTTGTAACACACAAATTTTATTTTTGTGCACCTGCAACAGCAAAATAGCCTCAACTTTTTGTACCAAAGAAAAACACAATCTCTCAACCTGTTTTTGTTCTGTATCTCAGCATCTGTCTTTTATTGTGACCTACAGGCATCGAGAGACTTATGAACTTAACATTTTATATAAAAAGTTTTCCTGTAACCAGAGAAGTCCTGGACAACACAGCTCAAAGGCTGCAATACTAAATGAAATGAAGAATGATTCCATTAGCTGGAAATTGAGGAACAGGAGTTTGGTGCAGCAAATTTACACTTTCTTAACTGATACTTTACCTGCAGTATACTCAAGCATGTTTCAGCTGATCCACACAACAAAGTAAAAAGGAAAAGTGAAGTCTACCAGGGTCTTACAACGTACCTCAGCATGCTGTCCATCGGAAGTAAAAATATGAGTAACAGTCATTTCATTCTTTGTCAGAGTTCCAGTTTTATCTGAACAAATTACGTTGCAACAACCTGAAATAACCAATTAATATTTGTAAGACAATGCTTCCATCATAATAATGTACGTAATAAGAACAAAAGTACTCAAGACAAGCAAATTTCTAGAAATACTGCAGCTGTCTGTGAAAAAACAAAATGAGATTTAACAAAGCCAATTTTCCACTATTAATGAATAGCTGTACAACCTTTTTGCAAGTTTGTCCAATAAATCAAAAAAGCTAATTAAAATCCCAAATTCACAACTTGCCTGAAATGCTTCCATTCCCTATCTCTCCATTTTATTCTGCTGTATCTCAAACTACATTACCGAAATCTCAATTGCAACTCCTGGTGATGAGGAAAGTTAAGAGCCTGCTTTACAGCAGTCATTCTTCTTTACCAAGAAGTGCAACATCTATCTAACACTAACCACAACACTTTTGTCACACAAGTGTGACTTACTTCTCAACCTACAGATTTTAGTAAGATTAAAAAATTGCAGACATGAAATTTTTATGTGCCTTTTTAACTCAGAAAAAAGAGTATTTTGAAAGAGTATTGCATTATCTTGACATTTTTGGACAAATAGCGAGAACTGCAAAAGCAACACCAATTGCCTTGCAACACTAATGAAACTCTGCTAGAAGCATTAGAAAAAATATTTCTACCCTTCAAATACAAAAAGAAATTCAAATGCAGCAGAATTATGTAACTTAGCATTTCTATTTCCTTTCCATGTCCTGTGCTTTAGATGTTTCACAACTGAAACTGTGTACTTAATGTTTTTAAACTTTAATATTTTGAAATTATTTTAGGTTTTAATATGAGCAGCATAACATCCTGGAGGTGCATTATGATTACAAAGCATTTCCTAATATTAAAATCTGGATTCGTTTCCAATTGTCAATATCATTCTTAAATTTACACGAAAATTTAGTTTAAAAAACATTTTATAAGTCTTATTTACCAAGAACATCTTACAGCAAACAAGTATAAAGACTACTCCACACATCCAATCACTCACACAGTTTAGAGTATTGCTAGTGTCATGCTATTAACTGACAGACTGTTTGCTTCAGATAAATTTTAAAAAAGGTAGTTAGAAGGCCCACAAACACATATACCCGAATTCTAACTGTGTAAAATGCATTTGATTTAGAAATGCTTTAAAGATACCACCACACTGCTAGCAAACCTGCTATATTTTAACCATTAGTCATCAATAGTTGTGTTCAATTCCTAACATTTGTATCAAAATACTATCTCTAAGTTAGGTCTAGTCATACCTAAAGTTTCAACGATTGGCAGTTTTTTTACAATAGCCCGTTTCTTCACCATTCTCATCACACCAAGGGCCAGTGTCACCGTTACCACAATTGGGAGTCCTTCAGGGATTGCAGCTACAGCCAAACTGTAATGAAAGTAAATATGCAAACCTTGTCTTAGAACATCATCCATGAATACACAGTAATGATGCATTTACACTTCACACTGTTTCCGTAGCTGTCTGTTCACTGAGGTTAAAAGTGAAAGGAAGCAGCTACCATGTGATTCTAGCTGTACACCATTCATTGTAAGGTACTGCAGACAGTAACAAAATGCAGTAATTTAGACATTTTATTCCTTACTTATGCAAAAGTATGAAGAAAAGTTGGGGGGAGGGAGAAATCAATTGTACATCTGCTTTGCCCCCACAAAACACTAATTAGGACTGTGCGAAGCAGCCCAGATTGTGAAGAATAAATGTAGTCAGCACTAAACAGAACTGGAAAATGCCACCGCTTCAAGTGACCACTGATCCACGGCTGTTACTTGCAGATCATGATGTGGCGGCAAGCTGAAGGTGGGAATGGCATAGAAGGTCATTTAAAAAACAAACAAATAAAAAACCTGCTGACAGTGTAAACAAGATCACAATAGCTCATTACACAATGCTCAAAGATGCAGTTCCTGGTGTTTTTTTTTTTTGGAACCCGACCCAAAAGGGTAAACCTCCAGAGTCTGATATCCTGTCACTTAAAGAAACACTTCTGCCTTAGGCACTGTTCACGTAATCAGCAACTCAGCAACTCTTCTAAAAGTACAGAGTTAGATCATCTAAATTCAGTGTTATTCTCAGCAGACAACATCCTGGGATGAAGTTTCCATAATATGCTAGAAAACAAACTGATGAACTAGATGACTCAAGGCTTGTAGTAACTTAGTTTTGTCTGATGCCACTTATAAAATTACTTATTTACTCAGCAATGGAAATTCAATCTGTACAACTCTGTTGTCTGTTTGCAGATGTTACTCAAGACACTCGGAAATTACCACACAAATGCACAGTTTAAAAGAGACTGACAAGAACATACTGTGTCATTAGAAGTGAGTATGAATTTGCTTTTTTACAGCACAGTCTGTCTTTACTTTTACTTACTTATATGAACTTAAAAGCAGAGTCTGCGTGCAAGCATATCATACTATACATCACTAGCTTTCAAATGCTTGCTGTAATGCACGATCTACACTACTTAAACCCCAAAATCTTACCTCACACCAATTGTGAACATATCAAGGATATGCTTTCCTTGCAACCAGCCAACCAGCATAATAACACCTGTAAAGAAAATAGTTGTCACGATAAATACAAACCCAACATGTACTGCAGCCTCATGGAAACAAGAACTCAAATAGCCAAAACCACATTTAGCATTGTGATAACTATAAAAATCTACTGTTTTTTTTCACTGTCAAAGCATGATTCCATTAGTATGGAAAAGGTGAAGAACGTTTCTGCCAGTCAAGTTGCCCAATCATACTAACAGTGAGGTATTCACTTATACACAGCTTAAATCAGAATACAAGACACATTGCCATTTAAAAGGAAGCATATAGATGACAAAAAGTAAGTCAGAAGAGTGTGTTTGCAGGAAGAAGCAAGTAAACACCCCTATGATGCAAGTTATGTCGCGTTGGTAACCTTCAAATGATTAGTGGCATGAATTCAAAGTGAACAATAAAACAAGGAGCCAAAATATTTTAAAAAAGAAATCAAGCCTTCCTTTTCCCAAGCCTACAACAGTTTCAGTTACATAATAATTGGTAATTCTTTTACAGAAATTCTCTTACCTATTATACCAAAGGAATACAAGGAAAGCTGCTTTCCCAAGAGATCCATGCTCTTCTGCAGAGGTGTCTTTGGAGCCTTGATGAATGGAAATATGCAGCAGTTAACAAGCACAGGTTAAAAAGCATGAATTGTATCACATATCACTTCAGATGTACAAATTTCAAGACACTGTCAGTGAATAAGATGCGGTTATGCCCTATGTTCCCATATGTTTACTTTGTGAAAACAGACTACTCTTTCATTCTTGTGCAGTATCCAGGAAGATTCAAGAACACTTAAATGAAATAAAAAATTTACTAGAAATATTCTTTGGGAGCTTTGTGATGTCTACAGCAAATCTAGTACAAAAGGCCAGATAAAAGATTTTAATAAAAAGACCCCAACATGTTGACTAAAAGACACTGCACTTCCAAGACCAAAAAGTTCTTGATAGCAAGAATAAAACTGACTTTTCAAGACAGAAGCATTAGAGCCCTGGAAATTCAATTCTATCTCAAAAAGAATTTGTTAATCACCTGCAGAAAAATGCAGTTTAGCCAAATAGAAAACTACAGAAATATTTAGACAACCTAGTGCCAAAAAATTTTAATGAAGAAACAAAAACTCAACAACAGGAAAGTGGATTTTTACACTGGATGCCAGTAAGTTTAGGGTTTTTAACAGTAGATTATGGTGGACTACAGTATAGAAAGCATGGCAAAAAAACAAAGACAGAGTCATTGTAAAATCTTTGTTCAACTCGTCACAAAAAAAGCACATACATTCTACATGAGAAAGTCTCATTAAGATGATTAAGTCTCTCGTACCTTCAAACTTTACTTTTAACATTAGTTTACTGTAATATAAACATCAAAAATAACCCCACAATACTGTATTTCAGAATGTTGTTGGTGCAGAATGCTGACATAGGGCTTTCTTGGTTTTATTTTGTTTTTTCTTTTTTTCTCTATTAATAATTACACTTGTTACAATACAAACTAAACACTATTTATCAGACGATCATATTTTCCTCACATGTGTATTAAAGTGGATTCCACTTTGGTGACTGGACAGCAGTATTCCCTTGAAAGGTGTAGTAAGGCACTGAAGCTAGCATGAGGTCAGCGATGCACTCCTGGCTGACACGTTTAATGCCCTTAACTTGCTCTGTTTTGGCAGATTTCAGAAATGTAAATATCTGGAAAAAAACAGTGCTGCCTATACTATGCCCGATCATGTTCTGACAGCTGGAGACAGACTGTATCCTTAAGATCCTACACTGGTCAGGCAGCCAGCGAAGAAGCTAGAAAGCCCTAGATACACAAAGCTCTCCAGAGTCTGAATTCCCATGTGGATCAGTGTACTGCAGTAAAGAAGTATCGCTGTGGGAGTCTGATATACAGGAGTCAAAGGCAGCTTATAAAAGGATAAGGTGGAGATCATGACGCAGCAGGAGACACAGGCATAACCCCCAAATACACAAGGGAAAACACAATCCTGTCATACAAATCTGTCATACCAATCCCTTTTGCACAAATGTACTTCCACTTGAAAAAGAATACACTTCCACGTATTCCACTGAGGTTTGTTCCACTGAATGGGTTCAGGATATTATTTTCACAGTTAATACTTTTAGGTCAGCTATGGATATTCTGTTGCACTGCATTCAGTTACTACTTTTATGTTCAAGAGCTAAGATTTGTTTCACTAGAGGAAATAAAAATATTAAAAGCAATGTAAAAAACATTAAAAGCATAGTTTAACTAAGTTCAAACAGAATAAATTAAAATTTTTCATGAGTGAAATATACACTTACATAATATATGTTTTGCCTTCTAAATATTCACTCTTACCTCTTCTGCTTGCATCATTTTGAAAACCTCCCCAAATTCAGAGTTTTCTCCCGTTCCAATAACAATCCCCTAAGAAAAATTTAAAAATAAAATAAAAAAATAATAAAGCCAAATCAAATCTGAAGTTTAATGTTAGAGGTTGCTCTTGATAGCTTTGACTCAAATAGTGGGCAAATGCCATTTAGCCTGCCACAATTTTGTTAGTTTTGTTATAAAATTAATTCTTGGCACAAGTAGGGAATATTTTTACTAAAAACCATTTTGCGTCTGTGAAACAAATTGCTATTCTGAGCACTGCTATAGTATGTCGTAACTACCAGTAATAAAACTCAAATAGGGTAACATCTATCTAACGCTAGACAGAGCTTTATTTTCAGTTACAGATTTTCAAACATATGCATGTAGTTCTAGAAGCAAAATACCACATCCTAGACAAAAGACTTTCACATCATCTGCTCCTTATAAACTTGAGCTCTCCTGGCCCTAGATTAGTTTTCTTGTTAAGCTGGTATCTGGAAAAGTAGCAATGAGAAAAAGATCTGCAGTGTATCACAGCAAAGTCTTCTGTGTTTCCAATAAAAAAATCCATTTCTATTGTTTCAGAAAGTTCAAAATATATAGAGTCATTAAAGTATATTTCTCAATTGGTAGGTGAACTTTAAAAATAAGAACTGCCTTCAAATAATTGAAACATGGAAAATATTCTTCCCTATCCATAATGACTTTACCTTTGCTTTTCCACACCTGACCAATGTTCCCATGAAAGCAATATTGCTTCTAGAAGTAAGGTCTCCATTGGTTGCTGCTGGCTGAGGAGCTGTAGATTTAGAGCAAGGAGCCGTCTCACCCGTGAGACTAGATTCATCAACAGAAAGGTCCACAGCCTTTGAAAACAAAATAGGTAAAAATCAATCTTTTGTAAATAGATGGAAGCGCTAACAGAAGTTTCCCAATTTTGACCATTAAAAATATATCCAATTTATTCATATGGTAAGAGGCCATGTCAGTACCGACCATATTTTAGGGATCAACAAAGCAACAAGCACTCCTACAGAATATTGCAGCAATGTAACAAGCTCTCTCTTTGAAGTGTTGAAGTTTACTCATAATTTTATGTTCACAATTGTTTTTCTATAAAACATTCAAGAGGTTGCAAATGTGATGCATTGTCACCAAACAAAATAATTAACTGGGAATGCAGATGCACATACATATTATTCTCTCAACTCTTCTGTCCGCTTCCTCCTAACAAGGTCCATTAAGAACTCTCTAACTAGAACGATATTTCATAGAGTGGGTTTTGTTCACAAATTCTCTACAGGAAAAATTCTATTCAGGTAACAGTCACATAGACTAGAGGAACAGAAACTGCCTTTTTTGTATTTTGTTGGTAGCATGTGGGGGCACTTGGAGAAGTTAAAAATGAATTGTTCTGTACTAATCAGCTGACAGATGAAGAAAATAAAATGTGTTCTATAAATATAATCCAAAACAAAAAATAACTTATATAAAATGGAGAGAAATGTCTTTTCCCAGCTGACATCAATTATTAATCAATATTAACATATTGACTTGAATGGGTCTTGAACAGAGACAAAGCCTGAATCATAAAATTCTGCTCACTAAATTTAAGTAAAATTATTTTGCATTATTAAAAAGTATAAAGCTGCTATTGGTGACCACATCACTAAATTTCAAGATAGCCTTCTCAAGAGAAACAGCATTAAAGGATGCATAACAAAACTCAATTGCCAAAACTCTTTGAAAGGGCATCACTCACAAGGACTAAACAAGAACCAGTTAGATTACACTGCACCACCACCCTACAGCAGATCACTCCAAGGTTCCAATTAAGCAGTTTTTGGTGTTTTGTAGGGGCTTTGTTTTTCAGTGGCACGGTAACTCTGATGCACTGCAGTTCTAGCTGAACAACAAAATGAACACAGGCTGCTAGGTGAAAAATAATTTAGTCAATGTTAAAAGATGATAGTGCCTTTACTAAAGTGCTTTCTGATCAACCAAATCCCTCTTTACTCCTGCTAGTCTCTCAAATAGTTACCAGTGCAGTACCCACTTTTAAAAGATGGATGCTGTATCAATAAAGGAAAAGGGACACTTGTCAAAAACTGCAATGAATCTTCCAATCAACGCCATAAAGAATGATTAGCTCCAGAAAGTTCTATAGTAATTCTGTATTTGTGATGTATTCCTCAAACTCCAAGCTGAAACAGGATACAGATGCCACTTTGCTACTGTTCAGATTTAGTCATAGGCTCTGAAACACTTATCTTCACTACCAAAAGGAATTGTGTTTAAAGTCTATGCTGTTATAGGTATATTACCCCTTGATGTAATATTCTGGCTTTAGAGAATATTCCCATAAATCTTGATGGGCCACTTGTTACCATACAGAAAATTTAGTCCAGAAAAAGTCTTCAAATATATTTTGGAAAACAAGATTAGACCAGTGAACAATTTTTTCACATATATGAAAGGCTTCAGAAAGTAATCAGTGCCTAATTACCATTTCTACAGTTTTCCAGGACAGCGATCAAACAGAATACACAGAAGAGATGTAGTTCTTTCTCTGAAAAGATGATCTCCTTATAATTTTTTTTCAAAACCCACTACCCTGTAACAATGCCCAGTAGAGACAAGATGAAAATACAATGACATGCTCTTATTCTCATATGATCTGCAAGAGTAATTGAGATAAGGATGGCACAAGTTTTCATCTGCTGTGGCGCTACAGACAGCTGAGAAACTTCTAATTCTGTTTCTGTTTTCCTTTGTAAGGTGTCCATGCATGCTGCTATCATAGCGTGCTATAAGCTTATCAGCAAGAAAGTAAATGCTGCTACAACAGCAGTTTCCTACCAGTGCAGAGACTATACAAATGCCGAGGGAAGGAGAAAGTGTCTGCAGTCACAAAACTCAAGTTTTCACACTAGAGGAGCTAACAACAGATGATCCAGACAAATTTCTCAAAAGCATCACAAATTTGCCTTAGAAATTAGCTTGTTTAGGCTTTGTCTATAAAATGAACACTGATTAATCCAGTATCAACCGTGGATATACAGATTATGGCATCCAAAAATTACTTTAATGTGATAGATAGCCCAGATATTGGGCAACCTGAGGATGCCAAATCTGACAGAAAAGTAACATGACGTTATTCAAGCAAAACCAACAAATAAGCAAGATGAATATATATACATTCCACTTAATTTTTAGAGAATCTGCAATAAGGCAACATTAACATTATAGCGTTATTACTTCAACTCAAGCACTCCCAGCAGTGCTAATATTAAAAATTAAGTATTTAGTAAACTAGATGGTATAACAACAGTGATGAAAAATTGTCAGAGAGAAAAGATTATACTGGCACAATTTCACTTTTTCTTTTTTTTTTTTTTTTTTTTAACATTCCATATCAGAGAACATTGAAACTATATCCTAAAAATGAATACAAATAAAGACTCAAAGACACCTGCAATCAGCTGCCTAAATATCTTATTAATCAGACTGAAAGCAATCATTTTACAACAGGTTTAACATTGAGGAAAAAGTACTCAACTAAAATTTTCAAGAATGCATTACTACATAGAATTGGAAAAGTTCTTCTTTTCATGTCCTATAATAAAAAACTACATATATTGTTAGGAATGCACAATTACATTTGGAAAGTAATTATTTCAAAAAGTCTATCAAAATAGTTGTGAATTCCAAACAACAACACTTATTGTATTTCCCCTCTGTCCCATGAAAAGAAAAATTATTAAATATTAAAGACATATTAGGTATATACCTCAAATAATCGTAGATCAGCTGGGACTCTGTCACCAACTGACAGGCAGACTGTATCACCTGGGACTAAATCTCTTGCAAGGGTATGTTCCACCCTACCTTCTCGTACACTGTAGGCAAAAATATGAAGAGCAATTAGAATGTTTTCTCTGGCATTTTCTCCAAAAAAAGCATTCACAGTGTTGACTATGCATTGCAATGTTACTGGTTTCGGCAATTTTTTTTTTAATTTGCTGCTTGTTTCTTAGAAGCTACACATCAGTAACATCATTTGAAGGGTTCAGAAAGGCAATAACGTGGAATAATTTTTTAAGCTCATAAAATAACCTAAGAAATAAGCAAAAGCAAAAGCATGTTCTGTGTCAGCATAAGACCCTTATACAACGGCGGTAAATTCAGTAAAATCTTTTTCATTTACTTATTTCAGATTAAACTTACTATGACTTAATTTAGGACTGAAAGGACAGGCAATTACATACCAATGGCATTCTGGAGGCACAAGTTTACTAAGCTCTTCAAGAGATTTTTCTGATCTGTACTCCTGCAGAGACATTTAAAAAAATAAAGCAGATAATCTTTTCAAAACAGACAAAAGTTAAACAACAAGATACATCCACATCTACTGAAATTTATCTTATTAGTAAAGTCACATTGAAGTAATATTCCAAACAATCAGATAAGAAATGCCCTTCAACAGTGCTGTATTAGATACTTTTAAAAGCAAATATGTTCCAAACTGAAAAATGTACAGATTTGCCTACATGCATGTCTTTTGAAGGAACAGCAGAGACCTTTTGCATTTTCCTACTATATCTTCAGATCTTTGCAATGCTTGCAGTAATGCTTCTAAACTCAAGGATCAGACACAAGATTAAGTTCTACAGTTTAATAAGGTAGTGCCAAAAATACTGTGATCATGCTCTTAGTCCCTGGAGAACTAAGGTAACACAACTCATCTCTAACTCAATAAACAGATTACAGAATTAAGGTAAACAAAGATATAAAGCACAAACACAAAGCAATTTTGGATTAGGCACACACTGCGTAAAGCTGTGTATTTACAGAATGAGAACAACTTTATGACTTAGAAAATCACTTAAAGACAATTTTTTTTTTTTAATTTCTGTACAGAATTGAAGTCAGAGCTACATTTTTTTTTTTAAATCTATTTTATATGAAGTTAAACACTGCTTATTCTGAGTGCTACTTTACAAGTACTCTTTTATGGCTCAGTATAACACTGATATGGACACATAAATGTCAGGGTAGTTAAAAGCAGGACAAATCATGCACTTTAGAAAAGGCAAAAGACTTGGATGAAAGCACAGAGCTCTTTACTCAACCATTCACAGCACAATGCATCAAAGACAACTACTTCAGTCTTATATAAATAGAAGAGTTTACATAAAAGCAATAATCGTATTTGGACAACAGCTGTCTTACCTGAACGAAGGCAACTGTAACAACAATAAGTATTGCCTGCAAGAAAACGAAAGTGGGTGAGACATCAGAATTCCAAATGGCCATGAAAGTGATTGTATTTGGTTTTGCTCAGCCATAGCTGTTACCACATATTAGCAATACAATTTGGAAACAAACTTTCTCATGCTCAAAATCACTCTGTATCCCTTGACTCTGTGCCATAATCTATTTACCTCTCTTCTAGTGATGTCCAAGAACTCAGTAATCTGATTTTACCAAGAATAAGATTAATAACTAGTGAGCGATTTTGAAGAAAAAATTCCTCTGCTTCGTCTTTCTAAACAGCAAGCAAGAGACAAGAGTGGAGAGAGGTCCACAGTGCAAACAGAAAAACTGGTCTGAATGGAGTATGAATGGTGTTCTCAGTGAGCAGAACAAAGGTTAGGGATTCACTGTTTGTTAACTGCTTGTTGAGAGCATCACAGATGTAGTTTAATTCAAATAACCACATAACAGAAAGACCAAGAATATACTACAGACTAGAGTTAAGGTAGCAAGCTGAAGAACAGGTCTGGAGCCATAAAATACCCCAGCAAAAAGGAGGAAAGATACTCAGGAATTCTGCTCGAGACTCTATGGAGTAAGACACTGAGTACACCCCAGTCAAGACGCCAGAGATCTCAAACAAAAAAGCTAAAAAAAAATTGCTCATAAGTCATAATTCAAGGTAAGTACTAAGGCCTCAATAGCAAGCTTTCATAGTCCCCCGTATCACATACAATTCTTGTCACAACACTTCAGCATAAACATCATGAGGCTTGTCAGCATGTGATGTGAAAGTGAGTGAATATTACATGAATAACAAAGATCAATGCTGTGTAACGCAAGTACCATCTTCCCCTTCAATACACTCTCAAATTGAGTTTTGTTGCATTAAATGAATTTGTTACTCAAATTGAGTTGTCACACTGATTTCTTACAGAACCACAACACAACATCCATTAAATAGCCTTTAAAGTACATACAGCAACTGCTAAAAAATAACCACAGTATTACCATTTTGCAAAAGAAAAAACTTATATAAGAACTCTTAACTATATCAAGAACAAATCCAGTAAGTCTGCCTTATCTGGGATACTACTGTTAGCCTCACCAACCGAATATTAGGAAATAACTATATATATATTCCATCTTCCCATGGAGTATTTCTACCACAGCTACATGTGTTTCTTTTGGAAGCAGTATTATCTTCTACAGTTCATGCTACTTGACACAGCTTTGCCTTCCTAGACTCACACCAGTCTCTCAGCTTGTGTCTACATGCAATGGCTTCCATCAAGAAGCAAACATCCTCCAAATGAAAAAAGGCATGTAATTTTTTTTTAAAATCTTCATCAGTTCCCAGTCCACATCAAAAAGTTTTACAATACATTTGTATCTGCAGATACAAAAGACAGCAAAAGCTGCTCAAGCCAGCACTGCCACCAAACGAAATATAAGCCATTGATCTTTAGCAGCAGATTAGTTTTGTCGCTAAGGCTCTGAGCACAAATACACAGTCACAGCAAAATTGCACTATCATCTGAAAATGAAGTAAAACATTCACTGTGTGATAAAGTGGGCACTAATGACAACAAGGCTAAATGGTAGGTTAGTCAGAAGTAGGACAAAAACACACAGAAGTAGGACAAAAGCCACAAACTTCAATTCTACCACACTTTTTCTCCATGCTTTAAGACACCTCTCCCAATGTTCACGAGGCTGTTAAAAGATTCCTTCTCAGGTTGTAACACAGAATGCAGAAATTACTACTCCCTTACACTAATTGTCCTATTCTTTTCTCACTGCCTTGCTCAACAGAGTTATTAAATGGATTACAGGGCACTAACCAAGGAAAAATACCAAGAAATAATTCAACTTTCAGCCACAATAATTAAATACCTTTCCTATTACAATAATCTACCTAAATCCAATTTAGGAACACAACAGACCATTTCAAACTAACACTATACTCAAATTCAAAATTGCATGGTTTTTCCTAATGAAGCCACATAATTTATCTTCCAAAGAAAGCTACTCTGTCTAAAGAACTATAGGGGTTAGAAACAAACCTCCAGTTACCTTGAGTTAACTACAAAAGTAAAACTCAACACAGAGTGCAGGTCAGCCAAGACAAAAAACAGGTAGAACTTGCCTCTGATCATACGGAAATCCTGATTTTTCAGTTATTGCCTATCACCCCACAAAGGTCAAAGGGATTAGAATTTTCTTGTGTCATTTGCAATAACAGATGTTTAGCACTACCATATTTGGCTCACTAGTTTATCACCCTGTTTATCTGCAAACTTAGACAAAAAAATAATTATTTCAGCTTCTATCTTCTGCTATTTCTGGAGAGCTTAAGTTACATTTCTTTTTCATGTTTTAAAAGATTACATCTCTGAAGTAAATTCACAGAAGGCTTATGTTGGTTTCAATTTGAAATTAAAGCATAATTTAAAATAAAAATTACACAGAAGACACCAAAATTTGCTCCTCTGAACAAATGCCTATAGACAGGCATTTCAACCAATGAAAGAGTAAGGATGCAAGATAAATCCAGATAATTATTCGCTGATGTATTTTGATATGTATAACTATCAGTCAATGAGGAAAAAAAAAATCCAGTCACAAACTAAGCAGATTTAATGACAGCATACAAATCAAAGTCATTAATTAGAATCAGGTGATCCCATCCCACATTGGCATTACTGTGATGTTGAAAGTACACATGGTCACTCACTCTGAAGTACTCCCAATGAAGATAAAATTTTAATTCCTTACCACAGTGATACTGACAGCATCATCAAACTGATGCATTAAAACACTGATGACTGCAGATGCCAGGAGAAGCATAATAAGGGGATTTTTAAACTGAAACGAAACAGAACAATAATTCAGCAATACCCCTGACAGAAAGACCAGACCTCAGATAGACTGCAATCAATACATAACAGGAAAAGAAAAAAACAAACCCAAACATTTCTTACATTTCTTGAGACACATTTTTAAGAGAAAAAGAATAATCTCCTGTATCTGTTTATACTATAATTAAATATACAAAAAAAAGCCTGAAATATATTAAAAATGTCTTTGAAGTAACAGGCTGATCCTGTTCCCAACAACTGACCGCGATCATTGCAGGAATATATTTCATAACTTTGAATTCATGGTTTCTTGTTTTATAAGATACAAGTTCTCCTTTTAGACCATATGCTTTCTTCAGATTTCTAAGGCTAAAATAATAAAGGATCTTGCTTTTACATGACAGCTGGTTGCTAACATGGTAATTTTTGTAAGAAGTGTTACAAAAAAGAACATTCCTACAATTAAAGTGAAGAACATTCTAAAGGCACAGATGATAAGCACATTCAAAGCAAATATGTATCTTAACAAATCCTACCTAAAATAGGTTTGGATAATATGCTTTAGAAGTGTTCTGATGCATCTGACTAATTTGACACTACACATGAAAAAAATAAAGCATTAATGCCAGAGGACAGGTAGTATGTGATGTTCCCACTGCTATAATCTGCAGGGTGCTAAATCTCTTTTTAGTGACTCCCAAGTAAAACAGTTTCTCTAGTCTAACTATCTGTTATGTAAGAATGTACTCTAGAACCTAACTGCACTGCTGCTCAGACAAGGTGCAAGAAATATCGCCCTAAATGTTTAACATTACAAATTCATTACAAAAATCTTCTGTGTCAAAATTTGTTACACATATCTTGTGTAGCTGCATGCATATATATATATGATAAATCACACTGATTAAAAAAAAAAAAAAAAAATCACACTTGACTTTTGCCAGTTCTGCTTAACAACAGACTCAAGATTGGCCCCACTTCCACTCTCATTGCAAAGGCAACAGTTTTGCTTTTTAAAATTTCCTTTGTCTATCAAGTTATTCATACTTTATGCTCCATTTAAATATTTACCAACAGTTATATGCGTTTGTGTCTGACCTCAGTGCCATCCATGCTCAAGTCGTTGACTACAACCAACTTTATTCTGCTTCTCCAGCCCTCAGGCTAGTTATGAATGGTATTGTTTGGCTCGTTATGAACATACATTCAAGAACAAGTCATGTAATCAAAACACTGAGATGCACAATAAAAGCTTTTTCAATAGGTAAATTAGGTATAAATTATAGAAGTTGCAATTTCCTACTCAAGTTTCCCCACTTTTATCAGAGTATGTTCATGCATATGAAAGCTAAGTAATAAAAAGCAGAACTATTGACAAGTATCAAAACCAGAAAGCAGAAATGACAAATATATTAACCTGGGAAATATATTTTTTCCACAGTGGTTCATCTTCACTAATATCAAATTCATTCCATCCATGGAATGCCCGTCTATGACAAACTTCACAGTTTTTTAAGCCATTCTGAAGATTAGCCTATTAAAATATGCAAAGAATAACACAGTCAGCAATTACACTGATAAGCTAGACTTCAAAATAAATTCCAACACCAAAACATACAGCCTTAGATTATACAAATTTAACCAACATCAGAAGGACAAGCTTGGTGCTGATGTTTGTATGACAATAAAAGCTAACTATTTTAAATCTCAATTTGGCAGAGACTCTTAAGAGATTCAACAAAAAATTCACAGAACTACAGAAGCAGATGCTGTTTCACAACTCTAACTTATTGCTGATTTTCCCTGCAGAAAACTCTTGAACAAGCCAAACCGTGGGCATAGTTCAGGCCCTTGAGGATTATGTCAAGAGTTCAGTTACTCAGTCAAATGACAGCAATAGCTTCAAAGTCTTGAGCTGTCAGTGACCAACATTTATCATGGTGTGCTTCTCAAGCAGTCAAGCATAGAGAAAATGAAAAAAGACCATCTATCATGAAAATTAACCCAGATTCAATGGTTCATAAATCTGTCAATGGGAAGCTTTCTCAATCCTGTCCCTCTGCTTAAAACAGAGGCTACCAAAATACATTAAGGACATTAAGAAATGGAAGCAATAGCTATGAAAAATAGGACAGAATTTTTAGGAAGATTGACTCTAGGATTTTTATTAACAAAAAGCAATCTTCAAAGCATACAGAAATCCAAACATTTTCAAGTTGAATCTACCTGATTTTTTTGAAAATGTTACAGCATTTCCAGTAACAACTCAAAAATCAACATGCTTTTAGAAGCAGACAATAGCTAATATCAAACTGCATGATGCATGGACTTTCAGTGACAAGATCTGTCCTTAAGAAATACCAAACTTACTGTTTGGTAACATCAGCGCATTTTTAAGAGATGCAAAATCACTTACTTGCAAAATGCTTGCTACTTCATCAACTGGCAATTCACTTGCTTTTTTTGAAGACAGTACAGGAATCATTGTCTCATTGTCACCATCAGGGATTTTTTGAAGACGTGCAACCTAAGAAACAAAACCAAAGTCTGAAGGGAAGGAGAACACTAACATTTCATTTCAAACAGCATATACCAGAGCAATGTAATATTAATGCCATTAAAAGGTAGTTTTCGATAACCTGTCCTGCACTTAAAAAAAAAAAAAAAAATAGATCTACAATTCAGCTTATTTTCATGCAGTACCACAAGCAATAATACAAGAAAATAACAGACATACAACTGAGAAGACTAATTTCCGTGACGACGTGTTCAGTGATGACAAAGATTCTAAAAGTTAAATATATTCATAATCCTTTAGCTCATTATCATCAATACTGGTCAGAAGGTAATTACTCCAGATAAATTTCACTCCCTGACCCTACTTTCTACTCATTAATGAAGCTGGTCTAAGCAGGCCTATTTACATTTTCTTGTACACAAAGAAAGGAGAAACAACATCAAGAAAACCTCAAACTAGCACAGATGCAAGTGAAGTTGTAAGACCTGACTACGGTACAAAAGCTTCAAGTCAATGCTATAAAAAGTAGTGTTTTCCTGTAATTTTAGGAAGTTGAAACTTTGTGAACCGCAGAGAAGCGCAACAGCAACACTGATCACACAGCTCGGCACTGCTTTGATATTTAATATGAGACTTCCAAGTTTCTTAATTCTTGCTTATTAAATGAGAATCTTGAGTGATACTCTTTCTTCCCCTTCAACCTCTTACTGCACCCACAATTAATATCTCGTCCACCATGCCACATACAAATCCCCCCTCCATTAACTGGAAGACACCTAACCTGGAAACATGCACACCACAGAAATGGTTTTCCCATTATACTTGCACAGAATTTGAATAGGTGGTTTTATGCTTTAAGAAATAACTATTGTCTTGTATGAATCTCCTCTAGGAATGCTGCAACTTAAAATATAAGATAGAGTACTTCAAGATGACAATACATTAGAAGATTCCAGCATTTTTATGCCCTAAAAAAAGGTATGACAATCTTCATCTTCTATACCGCACTGTTTGCCGTGTATTCAAATATGATAGCTGAGATTAATTCAACTCAATATTTGTTCTTCTAGCTGCTTACCTAAATAGAACCCACAAAGACTTCATTCCAGGCGTCCAAGGGAACAATGAACAAAGGTGAAAGTGCTACAGTTGGAACTCACATGCTTTTGTTTTCAAGAGAACCCGGAGAAACTCTCTACATTTGCCATGTAGTTGCTAGTGAAACAATAAACCAACCAGACTTGCTCCTTCACTGTAGTTCTAAAAGCAGAGACTTTAGGATGAGAGGCTGGGCAATATGGGGTGTGGGTTTGAGCTCTTGGGCAAGGGGGATGGGAGACAAAAGAGCTGCACCTTAGCAATGTGTTTCCTGGTCTCCAAAGAGGGGGAGCCCCTCGCGCCCCACTCAGCTTTCTGCAGCCTGAAGCCAGCGGGACTGAGCAGCCGGGCTCCGGGAGTGCAGCTCAGCAAGGGCCAAGAATGGAAGCTCAGCTCTGCTCTGCCACACCACCACTCCAGTTCCCATATTTCATTCTGCTGAAAGAGCTTTGGAAAGCTCTCACTATCCTTTTAATGATGCATTTATGCAAAGACCAGAATCGGAAAGTCTACAGCCAAATTTTTAGAGTATTACAAAATATGTGACTTAAATACGCTTTAACATTGGCTAGGTACTTACTGAAACCTGAAGTCTATACACTGATCTAAGTCTTCTTTAAAAATGATGGTGAACATACATTAATATACACTATAAATAATTACACTTACAAAAATTATCTAGCAAGTTATCATTTCCAAATACCTTTACATGTTTCAAATTAGACAAGAAATTGAGTCAAAAATATTTCAGAAGAAAAACAAAATAATGAGTATAATTCTGCTCATGATAAGTTTACAAAATCCAATGGTAACAAGCCCTTACACCAACAAGGTTACACTGTTCTGGACCAGAGACGCAAACAGTTGCTCCACAGTTTAAGGCTACTCACAGAACACAGCATAAGTCTCCCTCTACAAAACAGAACTATTATTAAAGCAGCTTAAACTGACCACAAGAGCAGCAGAATAGCGGGTATTTCAGTTAGGAAGAATACAGACGTTGTGACTCTAAGCCTTACAAAATACTCTCAGGTATATACAAGTTTATTTCCCTAAAACTCCATAATGGGAAGTGATGCATCGTCATGACCACTCAGTCTTCCATGCAGCCAGCCAGCCTTTGGTCAAGGGTACCACCACTCTTACCAGCATCCTTGAAGCACTTGATGCTCACAAGATTCAGTCCCTAAAAAAAAACAGTTTCCTTCAAATTCACCTATTTTGCAAATAACAACACACCCAGACACAGCTGCTGTTAAGCCTACACATACCAACCAATATTAAGCTAAATCATTTCAATTCTCAGGAAGCTGCCACTGGGGATGATGACTTTTCATACTTCAAGTGGTTATACTTCATTTTCTTTGGATCTTAATCTTACTTCTGTTTCAGTTTTCTTGGACCATACTTTTCTAAAGCAAACATTCACCCAGAATTTTGCCACAATGTCCCCTCTGATAAAACATCCTATGAAATTACTAGCTCATGTTCTTTTCTTTAAGGTTTCCCATATTAAGTACTAGTTTTTGATTATTTTTTTTTTTAAATAGATACCACATTCATGGTATTAGTTACCAAACACCGGTTTAGAGCTGTAAACCATTAAGCCTAAGTGCTGCTTCAAAACAAACCCACAAATATATAACTTCGACCAAGAGGACTACACATTCTCAACAAAAATGCTAGGCAACCAAGCTTTCACATCAAGAGTAGGCAGAAATGAACTGACAGCCATTACAAATTTTAGTGCTGAGAAAAATCTTTTTCCCTATGACAACTAACATGGGTGCTAAACACAAATAACAATTCCAAAAAAGGATACATAACTGATTATTTCCCCAATATGATCAATTAGGACTTCAGAAAGTCTAATAACAAGCTTTTTAAGGTTATTTTAAGAAGTTAGATATCCTTAAATAGAAATATTAAAGTACTCTCAGAGATCAGGCTCTTCCAAATAAATCTTCGTTACTGCAGGAAAACTGTGCTACAAAGCCTGTTTTGACAACCTTCTTGTGACAGACTCAAAAAGCCACTGATTTTCAATGTGTTTCATTCATATTATCTCCCATTTTTACAAAGAAGATTGTACTGTACACAGTGAAAAAAAATCTAGATAAAATCTGGTACAGGATTAGAAAAATAAAGACTTGAAAGGTCTTTTTATAGCCAGCTCATTTCTCTAGAGCAAAATTACATATTGTAAGACAAGTCCGGATGGTTCCTCATCTAATTTCTCAAAAACCTCTACAATTTATGTAGATTAGACCATACTTGTAGTTCAGGAAAGAAGTTTCAAATATCTAACATTCTGCCACCAATCCAATTCAACAGCCAATGAGAAACTGAGCACTGGTCCCTTCATCACTACCTTACAAAACATAAAGTGGCTTACACCAAGAGATTTAAGTCCAAAGAAAATTGTTGGAAAAAGTACTTGCTATCTGCTGGAACACAATAAATATATTCAAGCAAATAATTCTGCCTTTACTTCCACAAAGTAAGAGAAAGATTACTTATTCAATATTGTCAACAAGTGCTCTATAGTCCTTTTCACTACTGCCCAGATCTGCACACTGGAGATCTGGACTTCTGTAACACCTTCTAGCGTATTCAACAGAAGCTATTCCCAAAACCACGGTGTCCTATAGAAAAAGAGTCAACCCACATACAATAGGATGTCTTCCCATCCTATGTTGCAATTAATTTTCGAGCATCTATCAGCTGATACCATAAAATACTTCAGTACTTCGTTGCAGGCCAAGTTTTTATATGGATAATTGGGCTAAGGAATTCTACTGGCCTATGCTGCTATATCAGATAGCCAGTGACCACTGAAGCTTCTGGAGCTACAACTACAGCTTCCCATTCCCCACACCCAGCTGACTCTGCCACGGAACAAAGAAGCAGGATGCTAACTAACGAAAGCAAATAGCTGCCTCAGGAAAGACTTTTCTTGGACTGTTTCCAACGTACACACCACCATTTCTAGGCCAATAAATATGCATCAATCATATGACCACAGAACTGTGACCAAAGTATGTTTATCAAAATTAATAAAAATTTGTCTGGAAGGCTTACACTACCAGAAGTTCAGAGTTCCCTTCTGTTTTTTCTAGCGAAGAAATCTAGTTAACAGCAACGTGTTACTGTTTCTTCTTCCTCATACCCTACAAGAGTCTGACTATCCTCTCTCTACCGCGACTAATACCAAGTACCAACAATTTACCTCTACCATTCTGTTTCTCAGCTTAGCAGGAAGAGTCCATTATCAATCAGCAGGGCTCACTGACATTAAGATACTCTTACAATTACTTTTAAGGGGAAATTTTAGCTCTACTTGCTCAGAGAATGCAAATGGCAGGACCTACGTTCACTGAGAGCAGTCTAAAAATTTAAGAACACTCTCATACCAAAATCTGGTTTTAGACAAATTTGTGACCAAACCACTTTGGTTAATTAGCTAATACAAAGTCCTGCAAATATTACATGCAGTTACTCAACTGACCTACAAGTGCAAAATACAAAGGTGGTGTAGAAAAAAAAATACAGAGAACAATAAAAGTGAAGGAAAAAAAAAAAAAGATGTTTACAAAACAATTACATTAAACAATTACATTTAAGTTGAGGTACTTAAAAATAAATCCTGATTCTTTCTTTGAGAAGTTCCTTCAGCAACTTGAGGGAGAGGAATGCATCTGGGTGTAAACAGTCTACTCTGGAAGAATTGTTTACCCTACCACACAAGAAGTCTCATTGGCAAACTGCAAGTTAGTAGAGGCAGTTCTCAGGAAATACTGCGGCCCAACCGGAGATGGAAAAAGATGACTGGAAGCATTGACTCGGCATCCTTTCCAATATTTACCTCTTAATCATATCACTTCCTTCTCAGTCTTCCCATCCATCTTAAC